CTGGCAAAACATAATTTTGAATTTCCCATTGATCTGTTGTAGGCATATAGTTTACTAGTGAAGGTTGATGTTGTTTGTCACAAAGATAACATGAGACAGCTTTGCTACTCAAAACAGTAAAACGCATGCTCTATTTAGGCTATGGTGTTTACGCTACGTTCTGATTTATAATCTAGAAGTAAATTTCAATTTCCGCTCAACATTTCTACAACTAAATGTGATTAAAATGTTCACTGTCCAGTGAAAAACTGGTTTTTTTTACTTCCGGGTATTTCCTTCGAGCTCCGGATAACTCGAACGCGCAATAACTGGACCCTTGAAGGTTCGAGATATCGGAAGTCGACACTGTATTCCGTCGGAATAGCTGTTCACACTGCACCAAAGTGTGGCACACAACCTAGTATCCGATATGTGACGCTTCACTTTCCAGATCGGCGTAGCGCAGCTTCGATCCGTTACAGAAATGGCGCCGAAATCACCGTTCTTGTGTGTAAATAGGAGCCCTATCCAATATGATTTCCGTGCCGGCGTAAAGGCTATCTGGACCAGTGTGATCATAAACTAAGACTGCTTCTTATAATCCCCTGAAAGACAGAGAGGATTTTTCAGCCGATGAGAATAGCTCGTTACTCTCTGAGGTTGAAAAGGTGAAATCAATCCCAAATGTAATTTTCGTCTGCAATGGGTTGTATGTAACTAGGAGATCTAAGTTTTAAAGTTCATTTAGGCATTTACGTTTTACAGCGTCTGAAGATAATTATTGAATAATACTATTCTCCAATGAATTTATAGGTTTATGCACCTGGTTTATGCATAACGAAAATAGGCGAGTAGAAGCAGCTTTGAGTTGGTTTTAGTCGTGTTCAAAGTCTTTTTCTTCAAGTTTAATACAAGAAGAGCTTATGAAAGCATAATAAATACACTTTTTACCGTGTCATGATGACAAACAGCACAGTTTTCCCAGAAGATGCTTGTAAAAATTCTTAAGAACATTATTTGAAAGATCATGTAATACGCTTACTGCCCACCTACCCCTCCCCTAAGCCATCATTTTGCCCAAAGTGAGCATTAAGTGCTAATGTAGCTTAGGGGAGGGGGAGGTGGGCAGTTTCCCAGAAACTTAAATTGATCCAGAAAGAGCACTTAATGAGAATTCTTATTTTCATCGGCAGTCTTTCCAAGCGTTCCAGCAGGAGCTACAACTAAAGCAGCAGCAGCAGCAGCAACAGAAACTACAACAACTTCAACAACAACAACAACAACTTCAACAACAACAGCATCAAGCACAGCTAACACCGCAACAACAACAGTTATTAGCTCGAAGACAACAACTTCAGCAGCAGGTAGTTAGTAGTTAGCTTTCAGGCTTTATTCTAGAGCGCGGCCGTTGATGGATTTCCGGATTTGGAAAAAAATGCCGCGTCAAATGGGGCGCAAAAAAATAGGCTCAAAGATAAGTACTATTTTTTTGAAATAACCTATTCTAAAACATCACTGACAACAACACTGATTTGACGGCCGCTCTATAAACCTACTTTGAACTTTTATAGCCTCTTACTGTCTCAATTGCCTTTCTGTTCTTCGTTTGAGTCATTACGTCACCAGACAAACATCCAGGATTCTGCAGTAATTCGAGCCAAGGCTTTTTCAGTTGCCCAGAATGTTGCAAAATGGCGGCAAAGTTTCGATAAACGTTCGTTTTCTCGTGGAACAGTCTGTACCAATAAGTTCTAATACCTTTTGGGGGACCCCCTTTCTAGGGCCCGCTAAATTACCGAAGGAGGCCTATTGGATCCTCATTGGCCAATTTCTAGAATAAACCCTCGCTTTGTTATTTTGGAAGAAGTACCCTTTTTCCTGGAAATGAATCAGTCCCCGCTTTGCCCAGTGCCTGTTTCAAATGTCGGACAAAATAGGGGAGGGGGAGGGGTAGGGTGAAGGGGAGAGGGGTGTGTGATCGAGGGGTGGAAAATTAACGAACGGAAATTTTGTTTTGGCAACTGTTGGACATAAATCATTTACGCACGTGCGTGGTCGTAGTCTTCTTATTATACAACGTAAGGGATATCAAATAAATCAATCTATAAATCGATGTAGCAGTACCTCCTAAAGTTCAGTTCCCTCTTTTCATTACTTACCTCGTGTACTGGACACAGATGACGTAAAACAAAAGAAGAAAAACTATGAAACAATACCAAGCAGATTTTTCTCTGAACAGAAAACAAAGAAGTCTTTTGTTTTACGTCATCTGTGTCCAGTGTTTTGACCAATTTGTGTTATGTGGTAACAAGGGTGAAATGTTTTAATGTGACAACAGCCTATGATAAAATAAGATTCAGGTATCGTACGACTGTACAACAATTTGAATTCGTCTGTTACAGCTTCAACAAGTACAGCAACAACAACAACAACAGCAACAGACACAGCAACAAGTCTTTCCACTACAGGATTCCCAGGTTCAACAGATGGATTCAAGCCAGGCTGGAATCCAGTCCCAACTCCGTCACCTTCTACAGGCTAACCAGGCTTCAGCTCAGCAGCAGGGATTAGCTGCGGCTGCGCAGCAGCAAGGGATGACACCACAGCAGTGGCAACTTCTGCAACTCCAGCAGCAACAACAGAGATCCCAAGCAGCTGTTCAGATGCCTCTCGGCCAGGTAAGCTGGTGGTTTGGATTGATTTTTCATTGATGAACGCGTGTGTAAAGAAACCTTATTCACGATACCCCCCATCTTTGCACGCGCTTAAGGTCTTATGGGACAAAAACGAAATCGCGTGGTTTTTCGGGGAGTGGGGGGCGGGGGGGGCAAACAAGTGAAAAAAACTGCCAATACAAGAAATTGTGGTCGTCTTTAAGACAATAGTGGCAAATTATGGGTGGAAGTGATCATAGATGTCTTCTCAGTAAGTAATAATGACGTAAAACTTGTCGATACTCGAACTGTACGTTTTGCATGACCTTTAATTCGTCCTCTCGTTTTGAGAGAATAATCAAACTTGATTACGATTACTTGTATTGAGACATTTTATCACTTTTTTGTCCCCTAAAATACCACGTGACATTGGTTTGATCCCGTCAATCCTGAAGCGCGTGCAAAGATGGCGGGTGTTGTGAGACAGTCTTTTTTTACTCAGTGTAAATCTATGAATGAGCTCTTTGAGGAAAATGTGATGTTTCCGACAGGATTCGTACCTTCTAGGCTTGTTTGGGCGTCTGTGGGAAATGTGCTATGGAGAGATTCAGGAGAATTTGGCCATTTGCTAGGTTTTATATAACATGCGCGTGTTCCACGTACTGCTAGGATTAGCAAAGTGGGAGCATACTATAGTGATGAGAAAAAGGTTTTGAACTTTCAATCTGTCAAACACTGGGTGGTCGCCTCAACCACTGTGCTACGGAAATATTCATTATACTCTTGCTTGCTTTGGATTCATCGCTCTTTCTTTATAAAAACTGTCAGTTTTGTGCCCAAACAATAGAGCGATTCAGAATCATTTCTGCCATGTGATCAAGTATTCTCTTGTAGTTTTGTACTCATTATATCTAGGCAAAAATTAGTAGTTTCATGCCAGTTTCATCCATAACAATTGTCTGGTACAGTTGTTATCTGCTCGTTTCCTGTTTTGAGAAAAGTCAACTTGAATCTCACGTTTGCCGTTTCCGCAATCGCGATTCTAAATCTCTCTAATGGCGCGTCTTTTTACGTCACAGGTTCAGATGACACAAGCTCAAATGGGTCAGCCCCAGGTCCCCATGACCCAAGGGCAAGTATCGCAGGCTCAAATGCAGGTTCAGCAGCAGCAGTTATCACAGTCTCAGTCCAGTTTTCTACCTGAGAATATGAGCTTACTGGATATCCTACCTCAGTGAAGTGAAACTTATAATTTTAAATACTTTATGTAGTAAAACCTCTTTCATTCCGATAGTGAGACCTTCGGTCTTGTCATGCTGCTCTGTGAACTGTATAGTCTACTCTCTCTTACCGGACAAATCAGTGAAGGGGACACCAAATTGATCCCTGCCATTTTCTATAACGCTGTAAGACAGAAATCTCTCTTAGATGGACACCTATAACCTGTAAGACAGACACCTCTGATGGACACCCAGTGCCTGTCCAGAGAGAAAGATAACTGACTTTCATTCCACAATAATTTAAAGTGCTGAGCCATGAAGTTTGAAGGCGGTTTTTAGTAAGAGAAGCTGTAGTCTTACATGTAATACGGAGAGAAACATTGCATGCGTTGTATTGTGTATCCACTGTTGTTCAAAAGGTGGATAGCTCTATTGACTGGATAAATTTCTATGCAATCCACTAAAAAGTGATTTATCCGGTGGATAGCACCATCAAACAACCCAGGCCAGAACTGGATTCTGCGCAATGCTGCAGCAGTAGAGTCTCAGTTGTGCAATACTTCTGCTGCATTGGGCACAATAAATTTTATCACGTGTCTACCGCGTGCAATGGGTAGTAGCCATTATCGGTGAGATGTTCGTAAATTAATTTGTAAAGATTTGTATATTTCGAGCTGAAAGGTTTATAAGAGTACATTTAGGCAATAGTCTTGAAAAGAATAATATTTTAAAAGGTAGTTGTGCTGCAGTGCCAGACCTTAGAACAATCCTTCTTGAGCTGGTAGTATTGCTAACAAGCACTAAAAGATCATGAGGCCTCCAGCAACCTCGTCCCCAGGGCCTTCTCGGTTCGCAAAATGGCGTCATATTGGAAAACGAGAAAACCCTGGCGACGAGGTTGAGCTTCCAGTGTACAAAGGCGTGCCTCGCGTGTGTCGAAAATCGTGATCCCAGAGCAGTAAGAAATACCAGATCATATTCCTGTGCTTTTGAGTAACAATTTTTGCCTTGTTTTTTTAACCAGAATACGCTTATACTTTGTCTCCCTTTGATGGACTGTAAACAAGCTTCGTCCCTTAAAAAGAATATTGAACGCTTCCAAAAAGAAAGTTCTTTGATTAAACTAACATTTAGTCTAGTTAGGGTGAATAACGTATTTATATGTACCGTCTTAATGTAAAACTTGCAAAGCAGAATAAACTTATCTATCATTACGTAGTATCCGTTTATTGATGAACCTATGTCCATAACAGAATCCGCTGCACCATTCGCACTGTTATTAGGCCTGGGGTTGAAACTGTATCCTGGCAACATGCTGCGCATGCTCAACAAAGATCTTACTCGATTCATGCCGAGTCTTTCTCGAGTAATCACTCTGCTGTAAGGGTGGCAGACTTATTTCCGGTTTCGGTGTCTCCGTGCAAACGGAAAAAGGTCTGAGCTCCTTCCTACCCAGTCAACTGATGGGATGGGGTTTCTTGGGTATTTCTTGGTGTTGCGGACACCATTGTTGGTTCACTTTTGTTTAGTTTTGTGGGTATTGTTGAGTTCTGTGTCTTTTCAATCTTTTGTATTACGTCATCTGGTGATTGCAGCCATCTGCAAAGCCAAGAAACTTACATCTTCTGTAAAACTTTTAACCTTTAATTAATGTATCATTTTCCTTTTCTTTTTTTTAGCAAACAAACTTCAAACATTTACACCGTTGATAAATTATTCTCCAATAGTTTACAATCAGTTAATGGGCGTCTTATGTACAGATTTTTATGTTACAAAGTTTATACACAACTTTTCAAACAACTTTACTGTTAAACTTTCAGGAAGTTTTTCTCGTCTTTTTGGTAATCCTTAGCCTGCGTGCAGACGATAACTAAACTCTGATTAGTACCGTCTGCGAAGCAGCGCAGAGATCCTTGTTCTGGACCCCCAACGGACTCAACGAATTATCGGAAGTGCGTTTCGAATTCCCCTTCAACCTGATTGGCGATCACGACAAACAAAACAAAGGCCTTTTTTAACTGGCCAATCGTGGCGCGTACTCAAATCTGGGTACACAGCTGGAAGTCCAGAACAAGGATTTCGGCGCTGTTTCGCAGACGGAGTTAACCAGAGTTGAATTTCGTCTGCGCGCAGGCTAGGTAATCCTCGGTTATCTGTCATCTTTGTTCACTCTATGCTGCGGTAACGCAAAGCCAGATGTGACATTTCCTGCAACGAAAATACGTTTAGTTAAATCTTCGAGGAGTCATGTTAAGTGGTTTGAAACTTTACGCTTTCGTATTGGTTCTGTCATGAAGCGAGGTGAGAATACATGTGCTAAAAGAAACCAAAGGAATGTACCGCCCAGTAGACTTTCTCAAAGCCAGTCTCCAGTTTCTGCCATTTAGGTGGTCAGGAAACCGAACAAGTCGACTCGCAACTTACATCGCGAGCGCCATCACGCGTTTACATGAAATAAAGACGCGTAGAAAAACACTACAAAAACTAGTTGCAAGTGATCTGACTCATTAAACCTTACTTTGCGTTCTTGATAATGTGGACAGGATGTGGGCGGGTTATGTCGCTGGGTCATACCAGTTTGCCTTTTGTAAGGATGGATAGCGTACTATTGGCCAAAGACCTAAAACGTAAGGCGAAAAATTAGCCATTCACCGTTACTTTTTGGATGGCTTGACCCATTTCTTTAAAAGGGTGCAAGGGCTTGAAATTAACACTGCTATAGGAACAATTTGTTACTAAATCTTTCCTTTTTACGAAATTTTTATAACACCAACAGCAGAGTTTCAGCGGAGCTCCATAGCTTCGAAAATTTAGTTATCTATCCAACGGAGAAATTTTGGTAGTCACGCGATCGTACGGGCGCCCATCTGTCCGCACCACAGGGCAACCAAGGTAAAATATCACACTTTCTGGCAAATGTGGGAGCCTGCAACGTGATTGCACATCCATGCTGTGGTCAATTGACAGCTAACACAATAGGGTTTTTGCTGGCCAGGATCACATGACCATATCACGGGCTCGTGTCGACCGATCGAGGTGACGTGTTTTTTTTAAGTTCTCCGCTGACAAGTTACTAGTTTTCAACTGATCGCAGGCTCAACTATAAGTGGATATCTTTGAATTGGTTACAAACTTATTGTTTGAAGAAACAAATTATAAATATATAAACGGGGGCGTCATCTTTAGCCTCGGCTAAGTCTATATATTATCATCGGTTAAAAATTTGCATCGTTCTTTCCAAACAAAGGGAGGGGGAGACATAAAACCGTATGGCTGCCATGGAGACTAAGGAACCCGTGCCCGACGAACAAGGTACAGAAACAAAAATCTTACCCAAGAGCATAATTAGGGACATCAGGAGAAAAGAGTAAGTACAGCTCATGAGTTGAGTTTCGAATCGCGTAACACTTGTGATCACTGCTACACATGTATGTTTCCATGGCTTGATGAGAAAGACTGCTGTGTAAGTCGCATGACGGCTCATCTGTAGGAATAAAATTTATCAGTTGGATATTCAACAGTCCTTCTATTCTGATATAAGTGGACATACCTTAGGTTTAATGAGCAAAACAACAACGCTGTGCGTGCAACACACTTTTGGTATATTTCATGTCACTGAACAACTTAGCCTGTGTCATGGACAGTCTAAAGTATATCGAGTTCTCCATCTGGGTCTCGAGTGACACGTCCGGTTGCAACGCAGGTTATGTACGATTATACGACGTGAAGTTTTTTAAAATTCGTCTGCATTTGACAAATTCATCGAGTTGCAACGAAGTGTAAATTCACTTTTTAAGTGACGATTTTGCTGACGTCAACTTCGTGGTTTGTAGAGCTCTCTGACGCCAAACAAAGCGCTAATCTCCAAGGCACGATGCATTCTATTGCCTAATTTCAAACCGAGGGGGGTTTGGGACGAATCCGCCTATTATGGGATGAGCAACTCGAGATCCACATCAGCAGAAAGAGGAAGCCGTGATTTCGGACACTTCCAAGTTTTGTGGTTATCGGGCCTATATCAAACGAAAGACAAGCATTTAAAAACTCAAAAAGTTACTTAGAAAAAAATCTAGACGTACGGAGTAGTCCGGCAAACCATACATCTCTTATTTTATATGGGCACGATTAACACCTAAACATTTTGCAAAGCACGGTGTTCTCTTTCTGATTATGTTGGTCTCGCGTTATCTATATCATAATACACGGACTCGTACTCAATCCCGCTTGGGTTTGAAATAAGACAATGTGACGACTTACCTTGCACCGATGTAGCTGTCGTTTGTGGTGGGAATAGTGTTCCAACCACTGACTTGTAAAAGGATACTAAAATTGACTTTCTTTTCGCCGTGGAGACCCCGCCTCCTGTTAATAAACAAAAGAATCTTGCCTCACACACTAACTAGGATCACACCCAATGTCCAGGGCTGTCAAAACGTTTTTCAATAGCAGGCTGATAATGAATAGTAGGCGGCTTTGGAACTCGCACCAAAGGCGCACGTTTTTGAGGGCCGAGGCATCTAGGGACATTGTGAAATTTAGAATCTCGGAAATCGCGTCTCCAGGGGTGTTCAATGGGTATTTTCCACCGCGGACGCCATGTTGTTTCGTCGGAATACACGCAAGACTGGAAGCAATGCCGTCGAAATGTCCCAGGCGCTCCACGACGTCGCACGGTTCGAACGTTTCACAGGTCTGAAGCTGTTTAAATATGCGTTCAATGTCAGTCAAAACTGGGAAACGGATGCTTCACAATTTTATTCGATGGTGCTTATTTTTTTTAGCAGTCATGACTCACTTATGGTAGAAGGAGATGGAAGTAGCCGGCTAAGGATGGCGAACTAGCCGGCGGTTTTGGCCGGCTACCGGCCCTTATTGACAGCCCTGAATGTCTTGACTCAGTTCCAAGAAAAAATATGTGGGAAATATGTGGGGAATAACGGATTTCAAAAACACTCTTAAATTTCAGTTTCATACTCAAAAGTTAGCACCACTTTGAACAGCGTTTAAAAAAACATCAGTATCACAGAAACGTACTGCTCAGTGGCTTTCATTTGAATGGCCACACTTCACTCTCTGAAAGACGGGAATAATCTAGAAAGACATTAGAAATGCACCTGACATTGTGAATTTTAAGAGTAGCATTTTTAGCAGCTTATTTATTTAATGCTTTCTGTATTTCAGTTGTAGCTTTTTATAAAGTTTTAATTTAGTTTATGTATATATTTTTATTTCTAGGTATTTTTCATTTTGCTGTATAGTCTAATTTAGTACTTTTAAGCTAAGTTATGACCTTTCTGAAAACCACAGTGATGTGATGAAAGTTTTGTAATGAAAGATTATTATTTAATTAGGATTTCATCTACAGAGGTAAAAGTTAGTCTTCATGCAATTGACCAAGGAGGCTAAAGGTTTAAACAGCTTTTCATAGCGGGTGCTTTTGTAAGTAAGAAGAGCTTGGATATTACGGCAAGAACAGAGTGTTACCTGATGAACTGCTTTGATCGACACCAGTCATCACTCCAGCTGGATGTACACTTGACAGGCATTTTCGTTCATCTGTATTTACCAACAAAAATCTGCAAGAAACCCATCAAAACTGAGTGATAAATCAAAAGGCTAAAACCACGAGCAGTCAACTCCTTCGTCTTCCATTGAAAGACGACAGAAAAATTGACCAACTGCTGCAAGCAATGCAACAGATCCAAGAGATCGGGCAGATTTTACACCGTTTCTTTCAGTACTCAATCAAACTCTATGAATTAAGAGCAAAAGATCGGATCAATGAAGTCATAGCTTACATGACTTTCAACAGGCTAGGGTTAGGGCAGCATTCGTGGTCAGAGGATAAACCCCGTAAGCAAATTACTTATTGTTCTATACTTCCCTTAATACGCCACGGTGTAGCTGTTGGGCCGACGGATCGCGCCGGCGACAAATCAGTTAGTGTAAGTTACCATGTCTCCTTCCAAAAAAAAATGACTTAAACAAAATCTAGAAATAATCGTAAAGAATTATAAATTTTACCACTACTAAGCAGCCATCGAGACGAGAGCTTTCCCAATTGTTGTCACAGTTATTGAGCCGCCCTCAAGCGATTGACACAATTAACTTGGGTTGTATTACTAACAAGGCAACCAAGCTAAGAAGCGAGGTTGCCTCGGCGGCAGATTCATAATCCCGCGCAATGTAGGCAAAACTCTAAAATTCTGCGTAACTCTCTAAAATTTGCATTTTTGACCTTATTTGGGTGTAAATAAGACCCCATATTTGGGCAGTGACATCATGATCTTGTATTTACAACAACTCCTGGTTCGAAACTGGGTGATACAGTGTGCAGCTGTTCGTTTTCTGTTCAAGAGGCCCTAAACAGGTGAGCAAGCTTTAATACGATTTCTAGTTTAAAAGGGCTATTAGCAGGCGCGGATCTGGAATAAAAACTGACCGATTTCCTAAACGAGGGCCGAAGGCGCAAGCACTATCTAAGGGGGTCTGGGGGGCAGGCTTCCCAAGAAATGTTTTCGTGTTTAACTCTTTAAGTCCTCTATCCTGCGTTTTCGAGTCACTCAGGTAGCATATTGCCCAGGTTTCAACTTGGAAAGTGTTTTTTATCATTAAAAATGTATTTATTATGAAAAATCTGACCGATTTCCGTAAAACGGTGGAAACCGGTGTGGATCCGCCCCTGATTAGTGCTCTGGTTTGCTTTATAAATTGCGTTTAAAGTAGCAGCTATCAAGGAATAGGCTTTTACGATCCAATTTGTGTCAATACCAGCTTGTTCTTTCGCAGCTCGATTTACCTTCAGGTAGCGTGTTCGCTTCTCGACTCAGAACTAGGGTTTTCATTATTATTTTTTCCTTTGAAAATTGAATTCTAAGCGGTAGTTAATCAAGGAATAGGGTTGTATTCTCAAAAAGTTTATCAGAACCAGCGCGTTCTTCGCATTTTCGATTTACATTGAGCCGGTCTTCACCTCCCGTGAGGAATGCAACGCATTTGAGGACCTTTTTTTTTTAGAAGTTATTTTTGCCACCGGAGAGATTTTTGTCTACCAGTGTGTCCTTTTGAAGCTCGATTTACAATGAAGACAGTCCTAAACTACCATGAGGAATGCAACGAATTTGCGGACCTTTTGTTTCAAAGACCATCATTATGAATCATTTTCCTTTCGAGAGACTCTTTGTCCTGTGGCATTCACTCATTAGATCATTGTATTTTATTCAAGTTTATTTTTTATACCGCCGGATACATTCCGCCCCATTCTTGCGCTTTTCACACATTTTACTTACAACTATTTTTTTTTTATATGTATATTACCAGGCGGACTATTTTTCTTATCCTTGACGATGCCGTTGATCAGCGAAAGCTCGGAATTAAATTTTAATTTTAGCAGTCAAAGGCCTCACTTGAACTATATTTTGCTTTCTATTGTTTGTAGTTTTGAATTTCCATAAAATATAAGTGCTAACTTGCACCAATTTTACGAACAAAGAAAACAAAGCTTCAAGCCATGTTGCTATTTTTCAGCAGAAGTGAAAGCCCAGAATGTATCCAAGTTTTTTTTTCTAAAGTTTAGTGCCATCCTTTTCTACAGCGAAATCCATTTTAAACCTCTAAAATTATGTAACAAATCGCGAAGATCGATGGATAGGCACATTCCACAAAAGATAAACGAATTCGCCTCGTCGGCACTTGCCACAAGGTACTCCTAGTTTTTAAACGTTACTGAAGGAAAATACAGTCCGCTCCCGTCACGGATTTCTTTCAAAATGAAGTGACGTTTCGATTATGCTCATTTATGATGGCCAACCTCCAGTAAGCGTTCATTTGCCGGTAACTTGGGGGGGTGATTTAATGGAGGTTCAGCTAGTATTAATTGTACATGTATTAGCTCACACGCACACTGTCTTATCCCTACCCTAAAATTCCACTGTCAAGTGCCATGTCACCAGGAAGGTTCCTTGGATGCGATCTACGGCTTGATTTCAATGTTTCAGTTGATAGTCTCCAGTACGGTTCCAAAAACTACAGGCATATTCCAAAATGCAGACACAAGTAAAAAAAGAAATTTTCGTCAGAAGGTCTTGTGTAAGTTTGGTTTATCGTTACCATAGTCTTCATTACTCTTTTAAAATGCAAAGAAGATCATCGTGTTGTGAAAAAATTCAGGCTTTCCGGCAAGCCTAAATTTAAATTTCTTCAGCCCTTCTTTTCGAAACTGCATAAGTTGCGTCTTTAACTGCAATGATCTTCTTTTCATTATTTATTTTTTCATTATATGTGGTACCAATATATGAAATTCATATATTCATCGTTTCGTTATTGTTATTGTTACTACATACATGTATTAGCGTTATGACCATTTTAGCTCCAGATTTTTCTATCCCTTCCAGTACTTTTGATGATGAACTTAGCCTGATTCGAGTACTTCACAGCAACTTGGAATGTGAAATTATCTTCAAAGAGTGCAAAACAAAGCGACGATATCAAAATCTGCACCTGCGACTTCCACCCCGCACCCACAACATCCTGGCAACCTGCGACCCTGAACCCGCGACAAGTAACCAAACTCTGTCTGGAATCTATTCCATAATTCTGCGGTCATTTGGCTTTCATGTGTTTGTTTAGAGTTTGGAATTTAATGAACTATAAAGATTCATCTATGTACCTTGGTCTCGGTGTCTTGAAGTGATGGTTTGGGGCCACATATAACACACACTTCCACACCTTCAATGAGCTGTGGAAATGCAATGCTTCTATTAATATAATTATTACCATTTAATAATTATTATTTCATATAAGGATCCTTAAGAAAGCAAGGATGGCGCAGTGAGGAGTGCACTCGCCTCCTACAAATGTTGGCCATGTTCAAATTCAGGGGTTGAAGCCATATGTTGGTTGAGTTTGTCTGGTTCTCTCTTACGCTACGGCAGGTTTTTCTTCAGGTACTCGATAGACTGTTCACAGTCCCCTATTTTTCCGTGAGGTCGTCGAGATATAGCGCGTCTTACCGTTAAGGTGATTCCCTAGTAAAAGAACCTAACATAGATTGTAGATGAAACTTGGTACACTGATGTAACAAGTCAAGAAGACGATAAAAAAGTAATAAAAAGTGGGGGTCACCGTGCTCGTTTTGACGTCACGATGCTGACAAATACCGCTAGCAACACAAGCAGTCGAACTCAGCAACACGCGTACTTACGTTATGCACATTCCCACCACATTGAGTCTCACCTCGGCAAGAAACAACCACAAGCAAAAATTGCAAAAGCGTTTCTCTTCGGTCAACTTCATTTCAATAATGTTACTTCACATGCTCTTTTTTACGGAGGCCATCTTGTTATGCGCAGTAAGAGATGCGCAATGCAAAACCAGGGAATCACCTTTATGGCGGCCAGCTTGATTTTCAAGTGTATTGAGGGGGCGGGCGTCGGGGATTATAGCTCTAGGGGGAGGTGGGGGGCGATAAAAATAGAAAAATATTTTTCTCGCCTCCTCCCAAACCTTCCCCGTCCCCTAAGTAGATTTGACACTCCTCAAAGATGTCTCAAAGGTCTTACAGAAAAATAGGGGACTGTGAAAAGTCTAGGTTCTCCAGTTTTCCGCTCTCCTCAAAAACCAACATTTCCAAACTCCAATTCGACCAGGAATAAGGTAGACGAAGAACCACTAAGTGCATGTGCTACATAACTTCTAAACGATTATTTATTTATTTGTTGTTATTTATTTTACTAGCAAATTAATATTACAATAGAATAGAACAGCTGATACTAAAAACTTACACAAGGATAACATTTACTTAACCACCAGATATTTAATATAAATGTGGGCGCAGCATCATCCCTTTAAAAATAATGACCACTATTGTTGTATATCTGGATATTTACAGTACATGCATCTAAAATCAGTTTTAAGCGGTAAAAAAACAGTTCTAACTCACTTGAAATGTAAGAAGCCTATGAGGAACCTGAAAAAAATTGAAAACGATGATGAATCATGCTGGCTCAAAACAAAGAAAAACAGCTGTCACTCACTTTCAATACACATAACTTTCTTTACTTTTGGGTTTTTGTTGTTGTGGCGGGAACCATAGGTTCGATTACCAACCTCTGTTCGGAAAAATGAACCCGCACAGTGGTAACTGAGCCTACGGAAACCATTGTTGGTTCGCTTTTGTGTTATGGTGTGGGGATCATTCAGCGTCTTTTGTATTACATGTAAATGTACATCATTTTGTGATTGCATGCACCCGCCCGCAATGCCAAGAAACTACAACCTTACTTTTTTTATATTTACCTGTCAATGTTAAACTGTATTTAGTATAGGTCAAGGTTTTTAATAAAAAGTGTGTATGGACTCTTGTAAACAAGAAATTATATGAACTGTATTTATTCCAGGATTCTCAGGCTCGATTACCTTGGTTATAAAACCCCAAATAGTTCAACTCATCAAAATAATATTGCACAAAATTCCAGGGATTCACTAGAATCATAGATCATCAAGATGGCTGCAGGAATGCAACATGTTTACTCACACTTCTCTACAGCACTTGCAAACTGCTAAGCCTTACGTTATCATGTACAAATTATGGAAAGTCACAAATGTACAGAATGTAGCTAAACAGTGTAAAATAGATGAATACCTTTGGACTGCCATAAGGGAGATAAATAGGGATGTCCCTAGAGCAACATGGTGGTAATGAACGAACAAGGAAAGACAACAAAACTGTTTCCATGCCAGTTAACTCCCACCTAAAAGAGATCAACAAATCTATCAAAAGCATTACATAAACTTACAGATAAATTAAGGCTGGGTACACTGTACACAAAAAATCTATGTAATGAAAAACTCATGTACCAGTTAGAGGGTATTTAAACAGGTCTGATAAAAGTGCAATTTAGTAAATCACAGTTAGTAGTATGTTGCACTGTTATATTACATATGTACATTTTGTATCTACTATGCACTACTCTGTGATTGTTACATGTACTTAAACAGCCACCCCCTAAACCGGATGAGTAGCTAGAGTTGGTCTGTGCTCTTCTTCATGCCAGTCAGTTTCTTTGATGATGTCTATAACACTGACACCTCTCTGAAACAGCCACTTAGGGTAGATAATAACATCGTAGGTCAGTGCCATTCTTCAGCCAGGATGTCACTCACCAGCGCTCTGTTGCTACTGCCACTTTCCCCATCACAAGCAAACATCCAAATTCACTATTAACTGCTGTAGCAAAGGCATCTAGGAACTCCTGAAATTGCATTGCATAGTTAGTGATTAAAATACCACCTTTCATGCTAATACATGTACTTGATCATCACTCAGAGTCTCAAAATATCTGCAAGGTTATGCTACATGTAAGGTCAAACAACTGCCCAAAGCAGTGATTCCATCTCAAATGGCTGCTACATGTATCTTGGATCAGTACTACTTCCAGGGCTGTGCTCTAGCAGAGCCCGGTGGCCCCTGGCGCCTAACGTTTGCCCTTGGGCGACTAGAAAATCTCAGATTTTTTATACAAATCATATGCTGGGCACCATAGAATTTTACAGTTTCAGAGCACTGGGCTCCCTTCAATTTTCCTTAGAGCATAGCCTTGACTACTTGGATCAATTTATTGTGGGTAAAAACTCGAACAAAAAATTTAAATTTTTGTACCTGCAAAAATGACACATCAGGACAAAGAATGACATCAACAGCTTGGGTTATGTTCCCTGTTAAGTCGGTACCTTCCAGAAGGATGTCAATCAAACTATAACAACTCTAAAAATAGATGCAGGTAGACAAGGAATTTATTAGTTTCTATGCCCATCTCTCTTATGTTTGTTTCTCTTCAGTGGTTTTATTACATGTACCAACATGTTTATTTTTGGTGAGTACAACTGGCTTCAAATGCCACAAAAAGTGTGATGGAACCCATAATATTTATCAACAAAATAATGAACCTCTGCCTTCACCTGTGCTCTGAATGTTTTCTGGGCAAATTAAAAAAAGTAGTGAATACGTTTAATCCATTTATATTCTTAATGAGCCACAGACTTTCTGCTGTACAGATCAAAGTGTTTGGTACTCAGTTCATGACAGGTAATACATGTAATACTAGGAACTGGCAATGTACAGCTGTACATGCAACATACTATCATGTACAACTGTACATGCAACAGAATAATTAGTACGTGTAATCAAATGATGATGTGCGTTTTGTCCAAATCCTAATAATTTCCCGAGCCTTGCAAGTGAAATTATTCCTTAATTTCACGAATATACCATTTGATTACCTATTAATATCATGGGTGACGAATTACGTTACCAATCTTGGATTTTTGACATGTTTATACTGGATCATATTGATCGAAAACTCCACTCTCTCAAATGTTTAGACCTTAAATTTGGCTTATAAAGTTCAGAATCTTCAGACTTTTTCGGCAAAATACCTGTTAGAATCCTTCTTGATGTTCTCTTGTGTGTTCAGGTTTCTAAAGCGTCTTTTTGTGCCCTAACATCTTCATTCACAACATTTCAAAACTTCGTCGCCATCTTGACACTGAGACATACGGAAGGATTGCCATGGCAATTTTGTAATTTCACATGTGAAATTACAATTTAATGCTGAAATTTCATGCCAAAATTAAGGAGTAATACATGACCTATGATATTAGCAGAAAATAATTCAACAATCAAGAATAACTTACTCGTAGCTCTCTTTTAAGGTGTTCTACATTTCTGATTGATGTCAGCTCATTTATACCTAATAACAATACCTGAAAAAATGCAATTCAAAAATCAATTAAGCATTAACCGTTGAACCATAAAATGCTTTATAAATTTTAATCTTGAATTTGTTTCCTTGACTAGTAGTTGAAGTCATAATGGGTATGACAGGTTTATTTACACCTTTATGTGACAAGTAGATCTATAACTTAGTGCTGGTTCCCTGCACAGGACATCCACACCCTGAATATAATAATCTCCTAGAGCAAAGCTTTGCTGATAATCATCTAAAAAGGTTTTTCCTCAACCGACAGTTTCACAAGCAACAACAAAGAAACCAGCACTTTCAAGGCTGTGCACTAAGGAAAATCGAAGGGAGCCCAGTGCTCTGAAACTGTAAAATCTAGGGTGCCCGGCATATGATTTGTATGAAAAATCTGAGATTTTCTAGTCGCCCGAGGGCAAAAGTTAGGTGCCAGGGGCAACTGGGCTCTGCTAGAGCACAGCCCTGACTTTGCATCATAAACACTGAGTAGTACCATGAACAATAATCAAATTATAGACTGCAGCATATACGTACATGTAGTCGGACCTCCTTACGGGTATATGTGATATGGTATATGTGAAGTGACTGCTGTTATGAATGCGTCCAGGAAAAATTTGACTTTAATTTAAAATTTCTTGCAACCTACCATGGAATTAAAGACAAACTCTAGCAGTCGATTGAGATGTATATCACTTGCACTGTCATCAGATGTTACTATTATTAAGGTGATCCTGACAACAGCAACAAAAGATTAAAATTAACACTTTGAATCTGGTGGTCCAAGGTTTGGCCTTGCCATTATATTGCTTTCTTTTACAAGAAACTCTGCTCCATGATGTTTCCCTTCATCCAGGTGTGTAAATCAATGGATACTGGCAACATTCCGCTAGGGATAACTCTCCGATAGACTGGCAACCCATACAGGGGGTCAGGGAGTAGAGATAACGATATTACTACTCACTTTAATTAAGCTATGGAAACTGGTATAAGCTCCAGCCTGATGAGCTATTTGGCATGACTACAGACTTTTTGTTAACTTATGTAGTAAGTAGCATTCCAAACAATGGTAATAAATCCTCACTTTTCATTAAACACCTTCCAGACAACTTTAGCATCATCTGTCACTGTATTAAGCAGAGAGACATCTTGATTACTGGCGAACATGCAGACACCATTGAGTGATCCAATCACAGGAAACGGTAGCTAAGTATTTAATGGCAGCCATCAGTATAACATGCTACATAAATGTTTTAATATTCATTTGATTCATTTCATTATTACTAAGAATTCGATGTCACGAATACAGTAAACACCCACTAATAAGAACCTACTTTTTCGAAGTCTGGCAAAATAGGTTCTTGTATTTCAAGGGCACTTACAGCTGTATTGGCAATTTAGGTTACGTTGGTTCTTATTTAATTAGTTTAGGTTCCTAATTTTTATGAAGGAGACAAATCGATTACCAGAAAAATAAATAAACTTTTAATTTATTCACAATTGTATTATTATAATCCTAAGAAAACCGCTTACCGAATATACATGTATTTGCCGTTAAGTACAGTATGTTCATATTAAAACTCAAAGTTACACTCCTTTGTTTAAATTGTTCATCATAATTAGGAGGTTCTTAATCCACAGATTCCTATTAGCATTAGCGGGTGTTTACACTTTACTATCTGGAAGACTACGATCGACAGCCCTTCCAGATGATCTGCAAGTCCATGTAGAGTAGCTTATGTTAAGGTTATCGTATGAGTTTGCTGACATCGCTAGACTCAAATTGCGATTTTACCGACCATAATTATGGTGGAAACTAGCAATTACCTGAGGAAGATTCCCTTTTGTGCGCGTAAACAACGGAATTCCACCTTCAGTTGTCAAACAGACCAAATATGCCGCCATGTTGAATTCCCGCCAAGCGCATGCGTCAAGGCTTCTGAAGAAAGATGTCAACTGAAGCAAAGATGGCGGGTAGTTTTGATGAAATGCAAGTTGAGGTTAGTTAAGCATGAAATGGCTGCGAGACTGGCGTGCAAGCTGTTGTACGGAGGAATAGTAACTGTTAGCTGCTGCTGTTATATCAACTGCGTTTTGGAACATGTGATTGAAGGCACTGTGGTACGTAAATGTAATTTTCCTAGGCAGTATCGTTTTCTGTCAGCAACTTCTTATTAAAGATATACAAACGTCTTCTATTATGCTAACTATACTAGCTGTATTAATTTAAGCCATTTGCTTTCGTTCAGCTGTAAAATTGACGCACTATGTTTTCTTTGAACTCTCTGGTTTATTGCTTTTTACGGAAGGTCTTGATATACGTGTAAATCAGTCTCAGCTTTACGTTCATAGAGATCGAGTTTATTCGCGTGATTCTTTGCAAGTGCATGAATTCCTTCCGCATTAATTATGATGTGTCGTTTCTATTTTATGTGAACAAAGAAGCCTTATTTTTAAATTTGATGAATCTTCAAAAACATACTTACATGTTACAAAAATACTTACTGTGTCCATATTGAAGCTCTTACAGATGTTGTACTGAAAATTAAACCTCATCCATTCATTAAGAAATCTGTTTCTGTAATAGCCACTCAAATTGCAAATACCTTTCTTATCTCAGATTTCATCACCTTTTATGAAAGAACAGGGAAAATATTGGTGTCTGCTCTCTGACCCTCTTATTTTAATTCACTATTTGTTTAATGTAATCAGTAATAACAGGTCAAGCATTGAGGGTCAATAAACAGAATATAATCCAACATCAAAATTTTGTTTTTCCCTCACTTAGTGGAACTGAAATGCAAATACTGAAAATAATTGCCCTGGGGCCATGATGAGACAATTCTTGTATTGTCTGGTAAAAATTCAAAACATACCGTGAACTGCTGCTTGTATGTATGCCCCCAGCTTATACGTATTACAGTCATAAGGGGTCTTACTAGAGCTTATAAACAGAAGGGTCTATATCCGAGGGATTTAAGACTGGAATGTTAAAAGCCCTTTGAAACAAGCTGTAGCATTGCTGATCAAATACATTTTGCATTTGGTTGTTAAAACCAAGCAACATGTTGAAGCTACTGTAATTATTAAGCTTCAAAACCACATAAAGTAATAATCATTTCAATACAAGCTACAATGTATAGGGGGGCTTATATCTGAGAGGGGGTGGGGGGAGCTTATAATTTATTAGATGTATTTTTTGTTTACAAGCAAATGATATTTTTCCCCAAGACAGTATAGGATTTGTTATTTTCATCCAAGAGGAGCTGGGATGGGGAGGGGGGGACTATTAATTATTTTTAAATGGAAGGTTCATTGAACAGCTTACGAGAAGCAGTTTACAACTTATGAAAATCCCATAAAACGTAAAATGTGGAGTGGTTTTTGGTGTTATATGTTTTTGTTCAGAGCCATTATGCAAAAATCTGAACATGCAAATATAATTGTTAACAGTACTTTACAGTTGTGTGCAGCTTTACAACTTTAGAAGGCTTATAAAAAGGTCAATTTCCTAAACAAAATAAATAAACACATAAAATGCCATGAATTATTTTCAACACTTAAAGACAAAAAATGTTAATTTTTTCACCTCTGTGTGGCCATATCCTCTTTTTATTTTCTTTTAATTTGTCCCAGTGCAGCTGTTTGGGCCATCTATGATTCCTACCTTCAATGTAAAAAACGATGGAGACCTCATAATCACCGAGCATTTAAGTGCACAATTCAGGACAATAAAAAAGTAAGTATCATGTACTTAACAACTTGATCCCTGTTAGCAGATTCTCCTTTTCATAATACTGTTTAATTGAACTGCCATCCATGGTGATGGAAGAAGCTAACCAGTTTACGTGTTATACAACCAGCTTCATTCGACATGTTTATCTGTTCCAATTGCAACTGTAAATGCTCCTGATTTTTTACTGAGTCTTTAATCACATTATGCATGATTGTTACCTCCTTTGTTTGGTGTGACTTAAAAAAAAAACTCAAATCTTTAAAGACAAGTACAACACTGTAAAAAGCTTTATTCCAGACATACCTTGACTTTTATTGTACAGTGAAGTTTCACTGCTTATGAAGTTTTCAGCTTACTGACAATAATTTTTTGCTTGGTCCTCAGGGGTGATGTTGTCATAGTGCGTTCTCCTGAAGACCCAAAATCCCTTTTGTGCAAACGAGTGGCTGCAATGGTGGGTGGACTATCAATCTGAACTTATATAGTTCAAAATTTGAAGTGCCTGTGTGTTTAACGTACCTGTAGTACAAAATAAATAAATAAATAAGCTCTTCATTAATTTCAAAAACAAATGTTCCAGATTACAATCGACAATTAGTTAAAACTGAAAAGACACCTTTTGATAAAACAGTGTTTAAAATGCTCAATCCTAATTTGAGGAAGTAGCGATACGTATGTCCTTGGTTCCTCAGCCCTAGTATAGCGCCCCTGCGGTACACCCCTGTTTATACAGTGTAGGCAAAAAAGGGGTCACGTTACCATCAGCTTAAATTTCTCGTTGTTGCGTATTAAATAAGAAATCAATAATCCAATTCTCCTCCAGTAAGTTTTGAAATTCCACCATGGTAAAGACCGTTAAGACAAAGACCTTGAAAATGCCATAGGGATATGATAAAATACACCTCTTTTTTGGCTTGCAAATAGTGGAGAGCTAATCTCAGCTAGTCAAACTGTACACATATAATGTTCTTATTTTTGTACAGTAAATACTGTAGACTTAATGAACGAATAAATGCCCTCCTCCAAATAAATGCCTCTTATCTAATAAATGCCCCCTCTACGCTGTTAAAATTTTCTTGGACACCCCTCTCTAATAAGTGCCCCCTGTCTCAGAGGGCCTATGAGAATTACTCCAAAATACTAGGAATTAGCAAAAAGGAGCAAAATCATTCAACTCATTCAGTTACTTGCCTTATGAACAAAGCTTTGCATATGTCGTCTTGTTCAATGTCAAGTTTAAAGGAAGGATAGCCTAACGATGGCAACGTAATAACCCTAAGCGAGGATTCTGACATTGATGTTGAGATTTGAAACAGCGATATTGGATCTCTAGAGGGTCTAGATGTATCAATTGATGGACCACATATAGCGCTATCTTTTAACTCTCTTGATGTTTTGGCCGAAAGCATATTATTAGTTTTGTTGAGCTTGTTACAGTTATGAGAATAAAATAATGCCTCTCTATTTTAAACGCCTCCTATCTATTAAACGCCCCCGCTTGGTCCCCTAAAATTAAATAGATTTCCCAGGTGTTTATTAGTATGGTATACATTTTTACATACACCATTGCCTAGTCCCTGTACGGCGTTTTCCCAGTCCCTCTCGGTCAATTCAAAACGCTTTGGCCGCGAGGAAAAATGAGGCCTAGGGACTAGGCAACATACACCACACAGCTGCAACTTACACTACACACATTACACCTCATATTTGAGAAAGAAGAAAGATTAGGAAGAAGACAATTAAGGCAAAAGAACAATAATGTAACTAGAGGAAAAACTACATTTGAACTTAATTTAATTTTCTGCTTTATTGATAAGTGTATCTATTTCAACTTAGGAGTTTTCAGTTTCTAAAATTTCAGTTAGTTTTTGTAAATATATTATAATTATTAATACATTTGTTAAAAGAGTTTTTGAGTGAGCTTTTAAGATTTGCCGTAACCGTCCATTCCATATGCTACATGTAACCTAATTAATTTTGAACAGTAGATGAAGTAATTATTTTTGGAAGTACTAGGGTCAAACCTCTTTAATGTGCAGGCTGTAGTACAATATTATCATTGAACCTGTAAGTTGGTAGTGCCAACTTTCATGTCACCCCAAACTAAAGGCCTGCCTTTGCACAGTTGACAACTCATAAGAGTTGTAATTCCTTTGAGCTTGTGTAATACCCTATTAATTTTTCACTGTCATGAAGCGATGAAGTGATTATTTTGTTGTGTACAATGTTTCATTTTTAACTACTGTATTCCCACATGCAAAGTGCCGTAACTAATATTCAATGTGTTTTTTTTTGTCAGAGTGGGGAAAGAATTAGGACTAGCCCAGATGATGATCTAAAGGTATGTCTAGCAGTAATGAATCTTACATGTACATTTTAAGCTGTTGTGTCTTTAGAATAATATTCTACCGACACTACATATACACTCCAGCCATATATGATATGGCTGGAGTGATTTTCTTAAAAATAGTAATCTATGGTGAGTCCTGGGACTCATCTTGTGAAAAATCATGAGTCCCAGGCCAGAACCGTTGAGTCCCAATTCAAAAACACGAGTCCCTGGGTCTTTATGTAACCACACAGTTAATCTAAAGACAGACTCCAAAACTCTATAGTACATTTTACTCCTTCTATTGTCAAGCACAAAAAAGACTTTTCTAGGCCACAACTCTGTACTTTTGTAGCTGTTGTTTTGCTCAGATAGTGATCTTGTGCAGAATACATCTGCATGCAGTTTACAGGGAAAAATACACATTCAGGGTAAATCATTTTAACCTAGCTTGATTCTCAATTTCCTTTATCTCGTAGCCCTAATTCATGATATTAGAGTTAGGAGATAGAGGAAATTAATAGAGAATCAACCTAGGTTAAAACACAATTTACCTGAATTTATTTTTGACTGGGCAATTGTTGTTGGTGCATATACACTTAGCAAATATCCACCAGATAAAGAAATCACTATCCAGACGCTAATGCGATTGGTTTTCCTTACACTTATCTACTGGATAATAATTAATTACAATTAATGGACAAACTACATACTTTAACACTTTTAGATCAAGAACAGGAAAAAAAAAAAACAGCACATATAGCACTTTAGGTTCATACATGTACATGTAAAAACATTGCAAGATGAAAGTTTTGAAACCTCATCAAAGAGAGTTACATGACTTGTACCTTTCAAACCAAAGAATGGCTCACAGATTGACCTCATGTTCATCATGTTAATTTGGGGAAAAAGGGAGACTCAAACTGCTCCATAGAGTACTAGTGATGGTAAATTACCATTAAATGGAGTTAAGAAAGTCATTATTTTTTTAAAGATTCCCAAAGGTCATGTTTGGCTTCTTGGTGATAATCCAGATTGTTCAAAAGATTCCAGACATTTTGGACCGGTTCCTTATGGACTTATTCGGGGACGAGCTTGCTTGAAGGTCAGATACATGTAGCATTATTTAAATTTATTTGTCTTTGTTATTTCTCTTAACGCTTTGCAAAATATGAAAGCCAACTGGAAGTTTTTTGTCAGCAGACGGTTGACAAGAGACATGCATGTAATTTTAAAAAAGGGCTGGATATTCTGGATAACTTATGGTATAACGACTGCTTAAAATGCCAGCCATTGTCTATGAGGACATGCAATTCTTTTCAAAGCCATCTGGTCCATCTGCATTTTGATAGATCGGAGATCACTAATCAGGTGACAAACAACAATCTGTGAGGGATGGGGTTACTGCGGCGTTCTTGTCACAATAATTTGTTGACAAAAAATCAAGGAATTTCTTGGATGTTCTTTCCCATTCTCTGAGGTTAATTTCCATGTTGTAGTGGATATGGAACAAAGCGAGTTCTGTCAATCTGTAGAATGATTTCAACTGGGAAAGATTTTTTTTATAATTTTATCAAAAATCATTTATTATGAAGAATTTGGCCGATTTCCGTAAAACGATGGAAACCGGTGTGGATCCTTGCCTGTCTCTTGTGCCATGTACATTGTACAAATTTACATCCCTATCTCTAAGGCGCTCCAAAAGGTAACCATGTTTACATGTACATGACCTCTATCTCTACGACACTGCAAAAAGGCAACCATCTTCACATGTACATGTAAGTAGGCACACAGCCCTGTACCATTTTTCCTTGAGTCTGTTGTAAATTTGTGGGTTTGCTTAAGGACAGACTTTACCCGCAAGATAATCAACCACCTCATTTTATTTGATGCCTGCGCGCCAAGGAATTGTAACGCTTCTCATGGCAACAGGGTTTTATCAATGAAATCAGTGCAAACGTTTTTTTATTGCCTGTAACCAGGAGACCAAGCTGAGGGAATCAGAAAGAATGATCACTCTGTACCTCCTGTTACTGATTTTCAATGAAAACCATTGAATACCCATAGACCTCCCACACAGTTCTAAGTGAACAGGCCTTTACATTTGGTTGTTTTCAGGTGTGGCCTCTTTCTGAATTTGGAAAAATTGAAAATCCATACAACATAAGGTGACGGTTTGCCAGTTGACAAGTGTAACTACGGTTGCTCAAAAAGGACAACAAACTGGCAAGTGGCAGACGCGCTAAATGACGTTCATCTATATGGTCTGCACTTTTAGGCAGCAGGGTGGTAAATCATCAAAAAATTTGTCGACTCAAGTTCAGCATTATTAGCATCAAACCTGGAATTACATGTACGTCTGTTGTTCTGGGTTTAAAACGAGAAATGGAATCATCTGCTGGGAGTTTTGAATTAAAAGCTCTCTCGATGGAGCAGTGCTTTGAATGGTTGTTTTTTTAATTTCCTGCATTTTGAAGGTGTATTCTGTGATTTGCGTGTGGCAGAGAACGGTACAAAATGTCTTTCAACAATCATCTGTACGGTATAGGTGTAATAACGTACTGTAAACTTACAATGTAACTGATCCACGAATGGACAAAAAAGACGATTGGGAAAGAGAGGGTAATATGAAGGAATGGTCCCCTTCGCAAACCTCTGGGACTGTTTCACACATTATCACTTGATAGGTGGAAGGCCAGTTTTTGGGAACGAAGACAGTTTTGGCAGGCCAAGTAAAAAATATGCGCTGCAAAACCTCATTAGGTATAAACCAACCTTTGTGGAAAGATTTTTTATGTTGATTTTTTATGTTTTTATTCATCCATATTTAATGGAACTAAAATGTTCATGGTTCCTTTTTTCTGTCCACGAGAATGAAAGTGGCAAAACATTCATGGCCTCTTTTATAGATCGGAGGTCGATTGATAAAAATGAGTATCCTTCCACAAAAAAACATAATAAAAGAAATAGAACTTTCATTAATATAAAATGATCGAAGTAATATATTAGAATTTCATGAAATTGTAAATTACGTGTCAATCGAATTTGTAGAGGTAATGTAGCTTTCGTTCTCAAGGTAAAATAATAAAGATAGCGTACTGAGAAGTTGTGTGTTGAAAGTAACGGCCATGGCACCAGTTCGTTTTCCTCCCTTTCATCTGGTTTGGTCGGCATTGTAGCCAAGTATCAACTCCCTTATAAACTAGCATGCACGTGTATTAACAAGTGCTATTCAACTTCCATTTTAACGTTCTCATTATTTAAAATACGATAAAAGTAAAACATTTTGCCAAACATCACATACATGTAATTTCAATGAGTAGATTTTGAGAAATCGCCTTCTGTTTACCATTTCGTTTTCGCCGCCATGGTTGTTTTTCTAATAGGCTGATTTACCAGGTAAACGGGAAAGACGGGAAAGCGCGTGGCGCGACTTCCGGAGCTCAATTTTCCGCTCTGCCGTTGGTCAAGCCAGCAGTTTGATTTTCGCGCGCCGTCGTCAACTGACGTTCCCCTTCTGTTGCTGAATCAGCAAAATTTAAAGCACGCGCTGTCACGCGAGTTATCGCCACCTTAAGGTAAATATGCCTGCATTATGGTTCTAATTTATATTCAAACCGGTTAGTTACGAGTATATTTTACTCAGAAAAGAATTCTTATTGTGTGTTCCCTTGTTTCGCTCTGGTGAAGGTCGCGCGCTCGAAACCTGGCGTTTGGATCTTTACAGTTGTAATTTGACTCTATTAACTCAGACAGTCGATGAAACCCTATTTTTCACTACATCACATCACCACCCCACCACTACACGACTGTTTCCTTTGAAACTTACCATTCATTTAATGTCGATGTATGTACTCGAGACATGAAATGGTGGATTGCTTGGTATTCCCGGCCACATTTGTAAACCCATTAAAACCATACAACGAACATGACGTAAATCGGCCACGCGCAGCCTTGGTAAAAAGGTGGACCTGGAGAGGAAGTAGGACAATAACCTTATTTACAGAATTCCTCGCCGAATGTTTCCAAGTCCCTGTTAAGCTTTGTCCCAGGCCTCCTCGGTCAATGCGTTTGGGGGACAAACTCGCGCGAACCACTTGACCCAAAACGCATAGGATTTTCGGAATAATGAGGAGTCGGGACATGTCTACGTTTTGGTTTGCCACTGCGTTTGCAAAACAAGGCGGGTACAGTAAAAGTGAGGGTTCTTGACGGATAGTGTTGAAGACCTGATGGTTAATGCGTTTTTCTCCATCACAAACTTCTTCGATATCATCACCTTGGATTACAAGTACAACGGCGTCGCAAATCCAGATCCGAAAGTGGCTGTGAGACTCGTCTGTTGTCACCGAAATAACGCGTGGAAGATACTGCGTCGGGTTTCCACTCGAGAGACCACACATTCGTACTATTAGCTGAATTATTTCGATATTCTTGTCGATTGGATCATCGACCTTGCACGCGTGACTCTAGACGATCGATAGAGCAGCAATACACACAAAAAAAAATACAGATATAAAATAACCCTCTTTTATTTTCCAAACATGTTGGACAATACATCCGTCTTTGTCGGTGTAAGATGTAAAAACCCGCGTTGAAATTTTATCACTCACAACTTCACTGAGTTCGTATATATTGTGATTATTTCATTTAGTATAGCGTTATCGTGCGATGGAAATGTCTATGTACACAAAATGTTTTGCTGGTTTAGAGTGGGTGGTTTCGTCCACTTTACGATGTAAATTTAATGTTCAAGTCGACTTGATAGTCGCATAGTCGCAATTAGTGCGCGTACAATCTGGATCTAATTTTAAAGATCGTTAGTGATCGTATTGAGGGTTTTTGATGGCGTGCAAGTAGTTGGCCTTGTTAAAAGTCTGAGGCATTTTTCGTTCCATTTCGTGGGATTTCATCTATTATGAAGTGGAAAGTGAGGAATGATGTTCTCGACGTTTTCCAAATCAGTAGCCAAGTAAACTTTAACACCTCCTTTCGAATTCGCTTTTTTCTTTCTCTAAAAACAAACGGCCGAAAACGTATGTTGTAAATGGAAAGGTCATAAAAGTTTTTTTTTTTTACATCTACTTTTCGTTATTTGCAAAAGCAAAATGGTCCTTAGTTTTTGTTCTTGGGCTTTGGACTCATAAACAAGGTCTTCATCTATGGATTCACAGTGATGTGCCTTAATGATTTGGGTGGCATCCTGCCTTACTTAGTTCTTGCATTTCAGATGCAAAGATTCTACTGAATAATGCATTTTGGTTTTCGTTTCTTGTCCATTCTACCGACCCCAACAGGTAAGGATTTCCTTTGTAACTTTGGTGTCCATGCTTCTCGTGGTTTTCGCGGAAACTCGTTATCGTTCAGGTCAGTTATCTTGTTATTGCCTGCGAAAGAAAAAGAAAATGGCTGAATAAACATAATAAGTTGAATATATGTTTGCCGTAGGCACAATGGACACGGTTGTCGTATTTAACCACAAAAGTGTTGCCTTCAATTGAGTACTACTTCGAGAAAAGATAACATCACCTGTACAGTTGGCGATTTCTTTGGAGGTCAATGAATGAAACTCTCCCTGCTTAGCGCTCTAAAACGATTCCCACACCAACCGTCTCTGTAAAGTTGATTTATCAGAAGTAACATTTGGCGAAAGACTAATTTACTGTTTTGTTGTTGTTTGTTTGTTTGTTTGTTTTTTCTTAAGGCTTGAAGAAAGTAGTCATATGTTAATAACGATTTTTGTCTATTATTATTATTATTATTATTGTTATTATTGTTATTATTATTATTATTTTTATAACTATATCTCTGCTGTGTTTTATTTATATGTAAGCGTCCTGAACGCGTTCGTTTTACAGTAACCAGTTCTATATTGGTGCATTCAGTTTCCAAGTCTTTGCGGTCTGTTTTGTGGCTTCACGTGCATGCTCTGGTTGGTAGGAGGTGCTGAATTGGTCCCTGGGCTTCTGTTCTTCAGACTTCAGGGATGGTTCCGTTATTTTGACTTGCTTGTCTGGCTTTAGGTGTACACGGTTTCTCCTAATTACTTTTCCTTCTACTTTTACGTCTCATGATCTGTATCCATGACTCTGTGTTACAGTCCCCTTCTTCCACTCTTGTCCTTTGACTAATGTTTCTGGCTTTACTCAAACAATGTCACCAGGCTTTAGCTCATTCAGATCTCTGGCAGATTTGTTATAATAAACTTCAGATTTCTTGGTTTTCCTGGTTTCCTCTTCTAACACTTTCTCTGCAATTTTCGGTGTAAGTAAAGTTCCTCTGGTGGGTATTTCTGTTCTTGTCGACCGTTAAGGAATCTTTGTGCCGAAGATGTTGTCATACCAATGGCGGGTGTGTTATGCCGGCCAAGCAACGCTTCATACGGATTTAATGCAGTTTTCTCTGTCTTCTTCAACGATGTCTTTATAATCTTCACAGCAGATTCAGATTTCCCATTGCTCTGGTGGTGATGAGGTGAATATTTGGTCTGTTCGATGTTGTTTTGTTTACAGAGCTGTGAGAATTCAACGGAGTCGTAATTCGTTCCGCTGTCTGTGACGTTGTCCTCGGGAATTCTCCATCTTGCAAACTGTTTTTGCATCAAAGTGATGATCTCAGCAGCAGTTTGGTTTCTCATCAGGTCAAATTCAATTCAGTTTCTGTAATAGTCAACCAATACTAGATAGTGTCCTCTCCGCCATATCAGAACCGACTTTAGACCACGGTCTGTTAGAAATTTCAAGACTATCAGAGTTTTTTTGGCCTAGAAAGCGTTGCAGACTTCACATATGGCAACAAACTGCTTTAGTTGGTTGTTCATGTTTAGCCACCATAAGGATGTTCTGGCGCGTCTAAGGGTTGATTCTGTACACATAGGCTGCGCTTGATGTAGTCTGATGAGTGTCTTCCTCAGGGCCACCGGAACTACGATGCGATCGTTCTTGTAAACAATTCTACCACTGACCGACAGTTCGTCCTTGATGCTCCAGTAGGATAGACTTTCAATAGGTACGTTTCTTTTGTTGTTTGTCCAGCCTTTAGAGATGTGGTGAACTACTGACTGTAATTCAGTTTCATCGGCTGTTGCTTCTGCAATTTCAGCTAAACTTCTTGTTACGCTTTGATCTTCATGGACCACTCGAGTTGTTTCAATCCCATGTTCAAACGTGCTTCAGTTCTGGCTTGTTGGTTGGGATCTGCTAAGTGCGTCAGCAATAAGATCTTTGCCTTTCACAAACTTAAATTCGAAGTCTTATCCCATGATTCTGAGCATTTGCTGGAGTCTCACAGGAATATCTGCAACAGGTTTCTTCAATACAGCAGCCAGCGGCTTGTGGTCATTGTAAATTGTCACTTTTCGACCATAAGTGTAGGTGTGCTATTTAGTGAGGCCATAAACAATACTAAGCATCTCTTTCTAAACTCGACTATAGCGTTTTCAGTTTCAGTTAATGCTCTCGAAGCATACTGTATATGCTGATTACCTTGCATGAGGCATGCTCCTAATCCGCTTGATGATGCGTCAACTTGTATTTCTACTGTCTCGACTGGGTTGAAGCACTTCAATAATGGTGCGTTTGAGATAAGGGTCTTAATTTCTTCAAAACCTTTCTGTTCATTTGCTTCCCAGATGAACGCAGTTTCTTTTTTGAGCAATGTTCGTAGCTGTTCTGACTTGGTGGACAAGTCCTCAGAAAATCGTGAGAGGTAAGTTACTACACTAAGTAATCGTCTTACTTCATCTTTGTTTGTTGTAGCAGGCATTGATCGAATACAATCTTGTTTCTTGGAGTCGGTTTTAACACCTTTGTCTGTCAGAACCACACCCATGTAGGACAATTCAGTCTTCCGCAGTTGGAACTTCTCTTTGCCAAGTTTAATATTCCGCTTGCATCGTTCTAGCAAAGTTAACGGGCGTTCGTCATGATTGGCTGTCGCCTCTTCAATGGTTTCACCATCATTCCAGATCAGGATGCCATCAGCGATTGCTTTAACACCGTCATCTTCTAAGTTCTCGTCGATTCTTCTTTGAAATTCTTCAGGAGCTACGCTAATGCCGAAAGGCATTCTGTTCCATTTCATCCTTCCAAGAGGGGTATTAAACGTCGTCAACAGGGAGCTTTCTTTATCTAATGGGATGTGCCAAAAGGCAGACTTGATATCAGCTGAGGAAAATACTTTAGCATTGCTAATTTCTGTGAGCAGATGATCAACAGTTCGAATTGGGTACTTAGAGCGCTTGAGTGCTGTGTTCAGTGGTCTGCTATCGATGCATAGCCTTATTCCATTCTTAGCGGACGGCTTGTTTAGAATTGGAGAAGCACCCACCCATTCAGTGGGCTCAGTCACTTTCTCCCGTATATCTTTTGTTGGAGGTCTTGCACTTCAGCAATGAGGTTGTTCTTAACATACAGGGGGATTTCTCTTTAACCTTTTTTGTGTGGTGTAACATCATCCTTTGTGTAAAGATGCAATGTGCTCTCTACCTTCCCCAAGCTGTCATCAAATATCTTAGGGTAGTTAGTCAAAATGGTTTCCAGCGATAGTTGTTTTCGACCCCTCAGTGGCTGTTGGAGGGACACTTGGCTTAGCTGGTCCTACAACGGCAATGTTCTCCCGTAAAAGGTCAATGAGTTTTAAAATTTCTGAATCATGAAGACCAGAGGGGGGTGTCACGGCTCTGTCAACAATTCTTAACTGGATAATCACTTCTTCCTCGGTAGCAGGATTAAATATAAAGACTTTTCTGGTTCCCAGTGTCTGTATTTTTGTTTCTTCATCATACAGAGACAGAAGAGGCTTGAATTCAATGTTGCGATCCTTTAAATCATTATCTCCACTTATATCCTTGTATACATTCACCAGGAGAATACTACATGTAGAACCAGAGTCTATCTGAAACTTCGCAGGAATTCGTTTCTTTGAAAGCAACAGGTTTGCAAAGGCTATCTTCTGGTCGCCGTTCTGATTGAGTACACATATTTTGTCCAGAACGTCGTAATAGTGTTCGCCATCTTCTTCTACTTTCAGAACAAATGGTTTTTTCGACGATTTCGAATGCTTTGGATCTGACTGTTTTCCTTGTGTCTCTCTTTCTAACCGAATACTCATTTGAATCTTGGTAGTGATTTTTGATATTGCATTTTCTGCATACTGCTCCCCAGGCGGGACAGAGGTTTTGGTCTAAGAAGCTATGAGCTCCTTTCTTGTTGACACAGTAATTGCACATGAGAATATTCCTTAGTTTATCGTTAGACACGGCGTTTACACTCTCCTTTGCAGTTTGTTTTGCACTACATTCCTGAACTTCAAGTTTAGTGCTTTCATAGGCTTTGCCAATCGCAGTAGCCTCAACTCCTGTGAGAGTACTTCCTTTTTCTAGTAATCTTTTCTTTAATTCTTCATCAGATACTGCATAAACAAATTGATCTCACAGTTGTCTAACTTCGTCTGGATAATTACACCCTTTCACTAACAGCATCAAATCTGTGATAAAAACAGTGATTGTCTCTGCAGGTTTTTGCATTCGTTCCTTGAATTTCTTAGAGACAAGGATCTCGTTACATTCCGGACTTACCGCTCTCTCCATTTTAGTCCACATCAGATCATAGTCGTTTATATCCTCATCTTCGAACCAATCTAAACTATCGTAAATCTTTAGCCTTCAGGTCCGAGCCAGTCTTGTACCAGTATGCATTTCCTTTGGTTTGAGATGTTAACAAGGCTTCCTTTGAAGATGTAACCACTTTTTTTTCTCAAAGGCTCTTATTGCAACCAGGCGATTCTCTAGGCGACGGTTGAACTTCGGTCTTTCAAAGTTCATTATGTTTCCAGTAAAGAATCCAGCGTTTTGAGCTGGGGCAGCCTCGGCACCTTCTTCCGACATGTTTTTCCACGAAAGCAGCGGACAGAAATTATCAGTTTTTCTCGTCTAGAGAGTCCCGAAAACAGAAAGAAAATCCTGAGAATCAAACAGATTTTACCACGATCCATTCGATTGTAGTTTTGGCGCGAAGATGTCCGATCAGTATTTTCGGATCAGATTTCCCCAATTTCTCCTCCACGTTAAGACTCCAAACACGTCCCACAGCAGTCCTAGGGACTTGAAGCAACAGTTTCGTGGCTCTTTACGCTCCTGGTGCCATGTTATAAGATGTCGGATCAGAGACAAAACAGCAGATGTTCACCAACACAACTTTATTCCGAACAACATGTCTTGGTTCTCCCTTTCCCATCATGCACTATGTCGAGATACCACAGAGCTACCACGCTCTAACAAGGTCATTGAGTCAAAACTTTCCTTAAGTGTGTGAATGGGTTGTGTGACGGTAACTCTTGCTTCACGTCCGAAACTCATAATCAAAGATATGATTCAACGTTAATGTAAGGCACTGACATTAATTACTTGGCCTTTAAAGAAACCTTCTTTGTGTAAAATGTTTGCAAAGTAAATGACGCAAGATACCTATATAGGCAAAAGGAAGCAAAGGATGCAGTACAAGGGAACCATTGCCCCTGGGCCCATCCCCTGCCTCTGGTTTCTATTACTACCCTAAATAACGTACCCCCAGTTTTGTATCCTTGGATTTCTTGAAGTTCTGTCCATCTTCGCTGTAAATGACTTTTTCTGCTTGACGGCGGCCTGAATGGAAGTTTGCTCCTGGTTAAGGGAGCGCTGGGTTTGTGTCTCAAGCTTTCTGCGGCTAGGTAGAACTGTGCTTCTTGGGGCTGTAAAAACCAGATCAACTGGTTTTTGTCGTCTGAAAATTCAACTTTCATGTCGTCAAGGGTGTTGATTTCCTGAAGATGAATGAACATAAGGATCGATCCAAAGTACTTCAGTGGTACCTAAGATGACTATCTAATGTGCCTTACTTACTCTCCTCATTAGCTGATACGGGGATCAAAGTAACGTACCCCATTATGAAGTCTAGAGGTCCAGTTTAGGGACACAATGTAGTTCTTGATTGCGTGGTCGAAATTCTAAGGTCTAACCAGTCTAATCAAGTAAACCCTCTACGACAAAACACCTATATGCGCACAATTCATGCTTTCCTGATTGACGCGCAAGTTACAGAATACAAAGCATTATTTCCTATATGCTTATTTATATTTCATTTTATCCTCTCACTCTGTATTACCTTATTTAATTCAAAAGCCTCTTCTAGGGTTTTGCTTGCGGACTGAGCTATTTCCTGAATGGGAAAATAAGTGTAAAGCCACATCACTTTGTTATTAATGACGTTACCCGTCTCACTACAAAGACAAAATAGGTAGGATTAAGGGAATCCAGTTCTGAATGTCCACGCCACAAAGGAATCGTGTGAATAAATTACTTTCATTTCACTTGCTCGAATTAACTCGCTAGCTGCGAAAACCGAATACAGAGCACGAAACGTATGCCGAACCAGGAGTGACATCCGAGTGGAAAGAAAGAGGAATATGTGCGAAGTACACGCTTCCATTATTTGTTTTGTTGGTTGTTTTTTCTTCAGATTTCGACATTAACCAGTAAGCGAAAATTCATCAGCGCCGCTAGAAAGAGTACCTAGGAATGAGTGATGCTACCAGGTTTGAGATCGATAACTTTCGAAGGTATGGCTCTGATAAGTCTTGAAATTTTACAGACGTACTGTAAAAAAACATACCTCAAGTTTGATGTTATAATCACGAGGTGCGGAGGTTTTCACCTTCCCGCCAACTTCGTCATACATGACGTCATTAAGGCTGAAGATTTTCTCCGGCTTTTTGTTGTTCAAATATCGGTTTTTCCAGGCTCCAGTGTGTGGGTCAAATTGGTACTACGGTACAAAATAATGGATAGCCTAGTTAGAAAAACTATATTCGGAAATCTATACACAATAACATCTACAATGACTTAAGTGTCATTTTTCTTAATATCCTAGTTTCATAAATATGTATACTTTCACTTGTATGTGAGAGAGGCTTTGAACCAAAAGTATATCAGGTCTAACTCAAACCTCTCTGAAGCCCCGTGAAAACGGAAGGCAACATTTTTGGGAGTTGTTGCGTCCGTTTGCACGTATCTAAATGTTTTGACCAGTTTCAAATGAAATTTTTGCAACAGCATGCAACAGGGTGTGCAAACGCACGCAACATGTAACATCCAACAATGTTGGGAGTCGTTGGCCTGGAGATAGTGTTGCGTCCTTTTGCACAGCGCTTGAGGAAAATATCTTATGGTCGTTCCACATTGAACGGGAGGGCAAAGGTCTTTGAACAGAACTTGAAACTGAATGTACTGCACGTGATTAATATCTAATTTAAAAGGTAATCAAACAATCAAATTGTCAGTTGTATATCATATTTTTCTGACCTGCGGTAGCAATTTCCAGCCATGTGCGGCAACCATGTCGACTGCTTCTAACACAAAGTGCGCTGTGTCGTCATCCATGAAGTAAGGCAAGTTTATTCGAGCAAATCCGGGCCTTGAAATAAACAAAACACGTTATTTACTTCCGGGAAAACTTGATGAGAAGTATTTTGATATTTGTATTAGGCCGTTTGGGGTCCTTTGGAGTTTGCAGTCAGGTGACCTTCTTACTTCAAAAAGATATATTGAATTAACAACGGAGCTGAACAATACCAGAGACGCAAAAAGCATGAGAAGATTAGCAAAAGAACCAATTTTTAGGTGACTGACAAAAAAGACTAAGAATTATGAGACGTCTGCAAAATTGTAAGGGTTCGTATATGGTTTGTATTGCTATGCCGCAAGGCGCGCAGTCCAGCGACTTTTTCCATTAATACTTGAACTATTTTCGCCTTTACACCTTTTGCTGTTCATTACGAGAAAATACGCAATCATTTGCGTGAAACGGCGATCAATAGTGCGAATATACATTGATTAGCGCGAAAATACGAACATTTGCGCATAAATCAGATTCAATAGCGATTTTCGCATTTTAATCAACATTCAATAACACTTTTGGGCATTCATATGCGTCATTCGGCATACAAAAGAGAAAAATATACTTTCATTTGCGCTAGTATGCAAGTCATTAACACCATCTTGAAAGTCAATAGGGACAATAGACAAACATTAAAGTGAAAAAACCATTTATTAACATTTCTGTCACACTGTTTGCAATTCAATAGAATTCCTGGACAGCCTTAGTGTGGATAAGACAAACATTAATGCACTTGTACAAACAATTACGCGTTCTTTAAATTCAATAAACAAAAAACGCTTTTCAATGGAACAATACCTATTTTGCCTGAAATTTTCATTGCTAGTGCGATGCACATGATGTGTACACGTATGTACAACCCTTTAGATAGGTTACGTAACCTTTGTCAAGTGCAAAATAGGATAAAAGGATCAGAAAATTTCTTCCTGTTTATTTCACTTCGTGAGTGTTTTTTGACTACTGCATGTGTTACAAGTACATGTACAGTGCACGTAAAATGCCACGAAGAAATCGAATACCTCTCGAACAGAGAGAGAGAATCGTTAGAGCGTTCGAGGACGAGCAGGAGGACTATCTTTTAGTCTCAGACACGTCGGGCGTGAATCGATCAACGGCAAGGGGTATCGTTGCGCGTTACATCACAGAGGGCAGGATCCAGGAGAGACCAAGAGGTGGAAGAAACAACGTGCGCGTTGATGATGAGATGAGAGACTCTCTAGAGCAAATTATCAACGAAAACTGTCTGCTCACACTTACTCAAATAAACAGTGAGTTGAGGAGACGGTTACCAGCCAAACCGGAGATACATGACCGCACCGTATCAAGAACGTTAGACGGGATGCTGTTCCGAGTGAAACTGGTAAGACCCCTCCCTGCTGACAGAAACAGACCTGACGTGCTGAACAAGCGAGTCGATTACGCGAACTGGTTTATGAACCACGTCATAATCCGCCACTGTGTGTTTGTCGACGAATGCGGCTACAATATTTGGACGGCTAGAAGTCATGGCAGGGCGCGGCAAAGAGAGAGGGCGTACCGCCAAGTGTGCGGCCAGCGTGGACGAAACCTGACCGTGACAATGGCAATATCGCCCATAAACGGACTCGTGTTTTCGTCAGCAGCTGTGGGAGGAATGAACGCTGAACGTTTTAACAACTTCCTGGAACAGGCGAGGACGAACTTAGATCCTGATGAGTCGGTGATCTTTGTTTATGACGCAGCGGCGGCCCACAGAAACCCTACCATTCCCGCCCCAAATACAGAGCTTAAAATGCTTCCACCATACAGCCCTTTCCTCAACATCGTGGAACAGGCAATAAGCAGTCTTAAAGCGGCCATCAAGGCCGACATTTCCCGTCCTGAAATTCAAAGACTTCTGGACAACAGAGATGAAGCAAGAGCCCGAAGAATGCCACTAGGAGATTTTCGAACACAACAACTTCTTGAAGCTCTACACAGAAACATCGACACCGTTACCGCAGCTAAATGTGCTCAATGGTTTCGTTAAATGCAGACCTACCTGCCAAGATGTTTAAACAGAGAAGTTATTGAGGCATAGACTAAAATTCAGGACAAAATAGTTTGAAATAGGTACTATTCAATTGAAAATCGATTTTTGTTTATTGAATTTAAAGAACGCCTAATTGTTTGTACAAGTGCATTAACGTTTGTCTCATCCACGCTAAGGCCCCGTCCACACGAAGACGATTGTAAACGCAAACGCTAGTAAACGCAAACTTTTTTATGCGTTTAGGCCTTCCGTCCACACGAAGACTATGAAAACGCTCACCGTAAACGCATAAATTCGAAAACGCTCTCCAAAGTGGATAAATTTGAAAACGCCGTTTATGCGTCTTCGTGTGGACGGCCGTAAACGTATATTTTCGTAAACGCTGTGAAAACGCTGACGTCAGATGTCAGCGCCAGTCTCTTTTATCGAGTGCGTTTCCAAGATGGCGTACACACGAATGTTGAGCTGTGTCTTGCTTGCGCTTATTTCAAGCATAATTGCGAGTATTCAATTGAATCATGCAATAATCGATATACAGGAAAACTACAAAAGAAGAAGACTAAACCTCTCAAGATTGTTATCCACAACTACAAGCACTTTTACTCGAGTAAAACGGCTTAGATGCAGACGTGAGAGCAAAGAGGGAAGATTCTGGACCAGACCAGGTCGTACAAGCGCCTGGTGGAACAACTTTGCCGATCAAGTGGTGATACCAGAAGAGTGGAAAGAGAACTTTCGAATGAGCAGAGACTCGCTATATAATCTAGCTCAAGAACTGAGACCATGCGCGTCCGGTGTATGACATCGTTTTATGCGTTTACGAGCGTTTTCGTGTGGACGGGTTAAAACGCTACGTAAACGATGATCGTTTTCGTGTGGACGGAGATAAAACGCTAGCGTTTGCGTTTACAATCGTCTTCGTGTGGACGGGGCCTAAGGCCGTCCAGGAATTCTAATGAAATGCAAACAGTGTCACAGAAATGTTAATAAATGGTACATGCACTTTAATGTTTGCCTATTGTCCCTATTGACTTTCAAGATGGTGTTAATGACTTACATACTAGCGCAAATGAAAGTATATTTTTCTCTTTTGTATGCCGAATGACGCATATGAATGCCCAAAAGTGTTATTGAATGTTGATTAAAATGCAAAAATCGCTATTGAATCTGATTTATGCTCAAATGTTCGTATTTTCGCGCTAATGAATTTCTATTCGCGCAATTGATCGCCGTTTCACGCAAATGATTGCGTATTTTCTCGTAATGAACAGCAAAAGGTGTATTCAAACCACCATAGAATCGCACTGGTAGGAGTATAAAACATGAAAGTTGGCAGACCCATGTTTTTGTTTTTTTGGTCATTCAATCTTCGGTTTTTTAGGGTTGTATCCCATAATTTTGGCAAGAGACAGGTTATGTGTCCCAAAGCTGCTAAGTGCCTATCATCCAGTATCTCTTACTTCATTATTTCCAGTGGTTCTTTGCATGATACTTCTACATCCTCCCTACAAAGTAAAAATCGCGGTTTAAAAACCTGAGAAACATCTTAGAGACATATGTGGAGGCAGTTTTATAGCGGAACTCTTTCGCACACGCGTGCAGAGCCGCATAGCTAAGTAAATCTACCCATCCTAGAAAATTTGGTAATCACGTGACCGTACACCACCCGAGCGACCGACCGACCGTCCGTCCGCACCACAGGCACACCAATATAAAATAACTCAATCAACAGGTATGGCAACCCAAATACAACGAAAGAAAATCGCATGGCCGCCCGGACTTTTCCAGAGAAAAAAAACAACAACAACAAAGTCGTGTCTTTTTCGACGTTATTTTTGATGCTTAGAGAAGGAGCGAGGAGACGAATTTCGTTGGAAGAAAAACATGAAAATTTCATAGCGGCGGCGAGAAAATGAGAAATGTTAGAGGCCAGGTGAAAATGAGCGGCGGTGAAAAAATAACAGCGAACATGAACACAGGAAATAAAATCTTTGGTAAGCACATGCGACAATTTCTCCATAAAAGTAACGTGTAACTAGGACGTTTGACGTTTTAAGGTGATGTTACACGAGACGATTCGCAACGACGATTTTTAGCGCAACACAGCGTTGTGACATTGTTACGACATTGTTTCGTATAGTTACAACATTGTTCCAACATTGCAACTCTGTGTTGCGCCAAAAATCGTCGTTGCGAATCGTCCTGTGTAACATTACCTTTAGTCGTACAAAACGGCATTGTAGTCGTGCAAAACAACGGCAACGAAAGACAAAAAAGTCTGCTGCACGTGCAAATTTTTTTTTTTTTCTAATTAGATCTATTGATGTTGATGCCATTTTCATAGCCGTCCCCTTTTAGCATTATACGATTTATTTTGTTGTTGTTGTTGTTTTTAAGTATTATTAACGAGAGCTTCGTTTTAGCCCTGGCTAAATCTATATATTAATTCTATCGATCGGAGCGTCATAGCCATCTTGGAGAGTTGGGTTTAGGTGATTTGATTGATGATCTGATCTGGACAAACGATCAAGAGTATCATCGTTGACACATTAAGCTTGTCTTTTGTGTTTAGAGTTGGGTGACTTGCCAGGCAAATGCCTTTATTTTCTGTGTACAGGGTTCGTATGAAGTCTATATTTTCTGGTAAACTAGCTGCTGACTTTCGCTCATTTAAAGTATGTGTCAATATCTAAAAGATGATACTACTCGTGAACGGTATCTTATTCCGCAACTGGGTCAATGTAGTAAGTGCATGGGAGAGGCAGGGTACCCTTTTAAATGTTTCTTTGTATGAACAACAAAATGATTCAACTTACTCCTCGTGAGATTCAAGAAACCAAGTGAACTTTCTCGCAGTGATCTCGTCTATTCCCAAGAGGTCCTGATAAATAACATTGAACATGGTCATTCTTACTCTTTTTTGTTGCTCTTAACAATTCAAGTTCCAAAGCTGTGTTGATTTCACTAAAGTATGCACGTTATGAGTGAAATTTACTGCGAGTTACCACGCTATGTTCCTCCATTTGTTTGACTAACCTGTGCGTAAGGTCCAGCGCATGCGCAACCACCTCGCGCTTGGATACCATAGAGATCATTTAGTAGCACGGAAACAAAGTTATGATGCAGGAACTTCCCGCTGTCTTCGTGACGAATTAACATTGAGAATATTGGCAGACGGCGTGCTTCCTTGTTCCCCAGAATTTTAATGTTTGGATTCTTTTGCAAAACGGCTAGGGCTTTCCTTCGAACAAACAAATAAACAAAGTAATGAAATCACTCATCGCACGTCCTTAAGGTAACTAAGTCGCATACTTCGTATTTCTACAAACAAAGAAGAGTGGTATCTCTATTCCTTTCACGTTTGATTCCAGTCTTCTTCGCCTTGACTTAAATGGATCTTAAAGAGTGAAAAAGAGAACAATAATCTGCTCTACAAAATCAGTTGTGGCAGTATATATTAGTGGTTAACACATCGGACTTGAGATCTGTAGGTCGGGCAGTACGTCTTGCTATATCGTTGTGTCTTTGTTCACTTTGTTATTCTTCACTCAGGTGCATGAATGTGCACCGGTGATATATTACGGGGGTGGCCTAGTATTCCATCCTGTGTGGGTTTAGGAGGAGGGGGGATACTCCTAGATGCTTCTTGCTACATAAACAAGAATAATTTGCGCCGCAATAGCCCTGCCAGGCCTGAAGAACCTCTTTACCTCTTTACCTTTGTATGCTTCAAAATTTGACTTTGAAGTTTGTGTCAACTTCACGTTAATTACGCGAGCTCTATTATCACTTGTGTCAGTAATATGTTGTGTTATAAATTCACTTTAAATGTTTGCTTTTAAAAGTAATTTGTTCATGACAAGAGTAAGCTTAATTATAAATGTTTTAAACAGACGGTTGGCATTTAATAAATAAATGGATAGATAAGTTTACGTAACCGCGTGGCCCCACCAAGCCAAGCAAATTCATTGTTTTCGTACAAAACTTCCTTGAACAAGGAGTGCTAGTTGTTCTTACAAACCTGCAAAGCTCTTCTTCCCTGTCTTCAATAACATTTGTTCCAACAGCCTGAAAGCATGAGATATAAGAAGAGAACATATGGAACTAATGATTTTTTTTTAAAAATTCATTAACAGTTCTTGAACAATATATACCAAAGAAATTAACAAATAATCGAAGCCCTAAAAGTTGATAAAACAGGTCGAGTTTAAGCTGCAATTTCCTCGAGGAAAAAATAGACAAACCCATCGATTACTAGACGATTGAAAAGATATGGAGGAATGATTTACTTACATATTGTTTGCTTCACTCTCTCCTGGTTTAGTTTAAAGCCCATACTAGCCTGTATTGTCTATATTAGATTTGCTTCACCCTCACCTGCTTCAGCTGGAAGACCATACCAGCCCGTATTGACTCCACTATAGCCGGTGTTCCGCCTTCTTCCCTTTCTTCGATGTCTTTCAAGTACAAATGCGTGTCACGTGTTACCTGTATCAGCAAATGCAATAACTGTCAAAAAGTTAAAAAAAGAATTCGCTAACTATTCATACTCTGGAAAATTATCGCATATATATTGCGTTTCATTCTGATAGGCTCGCCTCCACCCCCCTTCTCTCTCCTCCCTTGTTTGCAGGACTAGTGTCGAGGGTCCCCAGTAGGTTTTCCGGGATACGGGATTTCCCTTATTTGCAGCTCGGGATTCGCCATTCGCGATTTTACAGCAAAGTCAGGGAGGGTTTCGGGATTGACAGTATGCGAGGGAGGTGGGGTGCCAAAAATAACCCTCGGGATAACGGGATTGCTCGAAATCTTGGGTCGGGATTACGGGATTGAAAAACTCTATTGGGGAGTAAGAAGTAAGTAAAGCCCCGTTTATGTGGGGAGACTTTGTCCCGGGAAAGAGGGACACCCTCCCAGCGGAGCCAACTTTTTTTTTCTTATGTAAACGGTTCGCCAAGTTTTGTAAGGAAATGTAGGAAGCGTTGGCTCGACCAGGGGAGCTCGGGTGGGCGAGTGACCCTTCTACCCCCGGGGAGAAGTGTTCTACATATAGACGGGGCCTAAGTCAAGCCGAGGGAAAATTCGAGGACCAAGAGGGGCTATATAGAACTCTTTGTTGCCAATCTACTGTCATGAAATCATCGAAGCGTCTTGAAAGCTGATTAAACATGTAGATCCAACTTTGATGCTCATACTGTTCAGCTGGTTTCACTCTTCCTTTCTTTCATCTGATTTATTATCCAGATTATAGCTTTACAGTTACTTTATTCTGGGGACTGAGTTCGACAAACCATACAATTGTCAAAATCGAGATAAAAAGTAAGAATCTTCTCTAACTTACGAAGAGAACTGTTCCTCCGCCACAGCCACCCGGTACAGGATTTCTGAACACTCTCCTTTTGGCGATAAGTAATCCTAAACAACAAAACAGGGAGACTCTTTAAAAATCAAGTTTTGTCCGGAAATTTCCGGAGATCGTAGACTTCAAGCACCTACCCGGTGTCCCTGGTCCTCCGACGAATTTGTGAGGAGATAGGAAAACAGCATCTTTATAGCTAATAAAAAAGGAACAAACAAGGTTGTCGTTACAGGTGCGTATGGTGAATAGAAGTTGTTCTACAAAGAGACACTTTAACCAAACATATAACTTTTTCGAGTCGAGTTCGCCAATTATTATGAATCTTTCGCTGACTGCTTTTAGTGCCTGTACAGCTTAAGGTGGCTGAACACAGTTTCTCTAGAACTGATCTGGTTTATCCCAGCCTTTACTGTGTATTTTAGTATTTTAACATCTTTATTCTGAGCAGGTATGCAGCCAATAAGCTTTCAAAGAAAAAATGCTAGGACAATTTGTAAAGAACTTCAATGAAAATTCATTGTGTTTTTGTCACCTTTGACATATCACGTGACCTCAGCACATTGACTAAGTGGTGCGCATGCTTACCTAGGAAAGCTGCAATGTGAGAGCGCTTGTTTTTATAACTTTCAAAAGCGTTGTTAATAAACGACAATATCTTAAAATCTACTCATTAAAATTTGTCATAAATCCTGTTCATATCACACTTAAGCCTTAAAATAGATTTTGAGCAAAGGAGTTCTGTGATACAATCAAAATGTCCATCAAAGATATTTTCTAAAATTTCAAAACTGTTTCTGTTTGTTACAAGTTGATTAACTAGTTTCTTAAAAATGAGGGTTACTTAATGTAAGCTGGGTGCAAATTTATAAGAATGTCTAATGACTCGATTTTGCGTTAACCTAATAAATTCAAAATTTTAGGTTTATTTTCAGTCATCCATGTTGCCAGTACAATGATTCACATCTCACTTTTAACCCAACAAATGTCATATAAATATTTTTTGTCTGTGCCAAATATGCATGAGCTTGATACCTGCAACGAGTCTTAAATGACACCCCCAATAAATGTTAATGATGCACAACCTCTCAAACTCTGTTCAACCACCTTAAATGACGTCACTTGTACTAAACAATAACGAGAGTTTATGTCATGAGTTGGCAAAAATATGACTCGTTCAGTTTCACCTTGATATTGACGTCCGCAGAAATTGTCGACACATCAGTCATTGTCACTAATAAAGGATTAAATTAACTGCAAAAACCGTTGCTAGTTGTAAACGTTGAATCTCTAGAAAAGAGATCTAATCAGCCAAAATATAAAGAACCAAAAACGAGAAGTCCAAAGACTACTGCAAAGCTGATTCAAAACAACGTGTATTGTTTTTTTTTATAGCAACATTTCGGCTGGGCATACCAGCCTTCTTCAGGTTTACAGATGTCACTAACAATCCTATTTAGGATTAACACTTGGCGGGAAGATCATTTTCAGTCTTAAACAAACCATCCAGTTGATTTTTCGGCCTCACCCCTCACTTCCCCCCACCCCCCACCTCCTCCTGCACGCGGGCTACATCTGTGTCACATGTGCATTAACCAGTACTACAAACGGAAAATTAATGCGCTTGTCTTCTCATCAGGCGACTACTATGCTTTTATTACGGCGCAGCTTCGCTCCGTTGGAGAAATCTCGCCGAAATCTCTGCTCTTATTTGTGAACGGAGGCCGTGTCCGGTATGGTTTTCGCGCCAGCGCCATCTATCCGATATATTCAGTTCAATTCAATTCAATTCTGTAATTCATACTATACACTTGGATGTGTTTAGTGTAACATAGCCTTATTAGAGTTGGTATAAGAAAACAAGCCCAGTCGAAAACTACCTAGAGAGGTATTTACTATTTTTCGTTCTGACTCACCCTGTTCCGGTGGGATTCATATCAATTTGAAGGTATGGTCCAGCAGATGCGTAATCCCAAAATGACAGGGCGCCATATTTGTGACAAAGTTCAGCTACAGCTACTGTGTCTGTTATAATTCCTGTCACATTAGAAGCTGCTGAGAACGCCACGTAAATGTTGTATTCTGCTAAACGATATTTCTTTGTTCAAGAAAACAGAGAACGGTCGTGAAATTGCAAATAACTGTGGTTGAAGGTTACCTTTATAAAAGTTATTCTCCATTCTTGTCAGAAGAGTATTTTTTCGAAACGTATGTATTCAGTAACTGCAAGGTTAGTTTAGTGACTATCGGTTACTATGATTACGAAATATGACGTCAGAAATTAAGTGAAGTAATATGAGTTTTAGGCGAGACATGCAAACTCTGTATGAAATGCACTCCAGGAAAAAAAACTGTTGAATTTCATTAGGGAGTTTTAGCATCGACGACGGCGACGGCAGCGAAAACGTCACTTTAAATATGAATCAGCGTTTTTTCAACTTTGTCGCGTTTATTCCAGTTCGCTGAAAACGTCTAATGTAGGCAAATTTCCCTGGAGTTGATCTCTTAGGGAACGCACTCAAGTTTAGAAAAAGAAAGAAAGATTCGTTGTCGCTCGTTTACTTCCTCCATAAAACGTGCAATTAGGCATTTTCACGTCGTAGTCGCGCAATAACAGCAAAGAAATGTACAAAAAAGCGTGATGCTTAATAAACCTATTGCTGATATGACGTTCTCGTTGCCTTCGCCGTTGCTAAAACTCCCTATTGTTTGTGAGGGGACATCCTATTACGAATTAAAAACGCTTACAATCTGATATTTTTTTACGGGAAAAAATAGGTCAAATATTATTACCGTCAGACTGGTCTCTAACATCTCCATGTCAACCGTCCCCTCGTTATTATCCTGTATTCGGACGATCTACGAATAAAAAATATTGCATTTCCATTCTGCAAAACTGTCTCTGAATATAAAGCAGCTCCTTTATACGAACATAATGTCAACGACCAATGTACAGAATAATAAACAGTTCCACGTGAAAGTATTGTTAAGATTTCTTTCCCAGACTCAAAAGTTAGAACCATCTTGTACAGCATAATTAACTCTGCCATAGAAGGGAAGAACTGCTCAGTAGCTTTAAATTTAGTACACATTAGTTTTCTATCCACAGACTAAAATGTTAGAACTACCTTTTACAGTGTATTATAAACAGTACCACGGGAAAGTACTGCTCAGTAGCGTTTATTTGATTGGTCACAATTAAGGATTTTATCCTGTCTCAAAAGTCAGAACCACCTTGTACAGGATAGTACTGCTCAGTAGCTTTCATTTGAATGGTCACACTTGGGGATTTCATTTGCAGACTCAAAAGTCAGCAACATAATGACATCATCCACAGAATCACTTCAGTATCGTCTCTGCAAGGACTTTTTGACTTATTACCTTTGTGCCAGTTTCTTTCCAAGGTAGGATATTCGAGTGATGCTCAAATGGACCAACAAAGACAACCTTTTGAAGAAAAGTGATAAATGACTTCATTAACTCATACTCTGTAATTGTGTTATCGACCCAGCCTTGTAGAGGCTCCGCGAGGGCGACGTAGACGGCAAAAAGCTCTAACAAGGATTTTTGGCCGTCGGGAAAAGCTTTAATGAACCATCATGCAAATTTTACGTGATCCTTGTTTTGTGTTCTTCTAAATTTTGCACACGGACGATTAATAGTCGAAATGTCACGACCACTGCTTTCACTTCGTACTAACGTTCGTACTTGTGTCAAACTTCATTGTATAAACCTATCCTTGTCGTTGGAAATTCTCTACAAATGTCGAGTACTATTCTGTTATTGGTTTCTTCAAAAAAGGTTTCCCTCTTGAAAGAAATATTATATATTTTTTATCTTTATTATACTTACAGATTTGCCGACTACTGTTCCTGTTAATTGTAAGGCGTGAATTAACTTGTGGATAGCTCCAGTGGTTCCACTTCCGGTGAACACAACTACGTCATCGGGTCCAGCGTTAACGCACTTTTTTATGATATCACTGTAGGATAATTATAATATGTAGGTGCATATTTTATTTCTTTTCTCATGTTAAATTTGCTGGCAATTAACTACAGCATACTTTTCTGCATTACGCTTAAGTTCTGTTTTTCAGATTTTGCTACCCGGATAATAGTCTGATAAAACTACCAATTGCCTAATTTTCCATTATGTCTTAAGAGGTTACCATGGCACAGTACATGCTTTCCAATCCACTTTACATTTGATTTTTTGTTGAGTTATATGTATGGTCATACAGTCAAATCTCCTTATAAGGGACACTGTGGGGACCTCGAGTTATTGTCCTCATTAGCGAGAGTCCGTAATAGCGGGAGTCTATTTCAGCCAAACATCTGTACTTTTTTTGCCTGGGGTTTAGCTGCTGTCCGTATTATCGTGGTGTCCGTTATAGCGAGGTGTCCGCAAGGCGAGAGTTGACTGTATTTGCATGGAGAGAACGTTGATAAGGGAAAGTTCATTTCATACGGAGAAGGGGGTATAACTTTTTGGGTGTGTGGGTTCGGGGGGCTCCACGCCCTCCACTTCATACATTTCAACCAACCCCTAAAATATGCAACGCTACTGCACTACTCACACATCCCTAATAAACATAAAAAACTTCACATATGCCTAGTGCAGCGACAGCCAAATATACGCTCCCTTAGCTTCTTGTCTTACCGAGCGTCCTCTCTGAATTTGGTAGTCTGCCGTGACGTCACACTTGTTGTGGTGTGGGTATTGGCGTAAAACGGATACACATAGTCCCGGATGTAGTTCTCAATAAACCGAAGAGGCCTGGGGATAGAGAGCAGCCATGTAATTGACTTTCTTTACAGTAACCAACATATGACGTCTTCTCCCTCGTACCGTAAATTATTTAGGAGGAGAAATAGTCACAGCTTCTATAATTATAAACGTATCCTAATCATAGTCCTTTTTCGTGTAAATAGTGCCTTGAAATCTTTAGAAAAATTCCTTTATGCATATTGTAACTCTAGCCGCGTGGTGTTCAGTTCTTTTTCACTATGTTAGGTAACTCTTTTAAACTATAATCGGGTTGTCTTTTCCTTAATAAGCCACGTATTAAAGTGAAAATTACTAAATGCGAGTTTCAGGTCACTGTGGGCGAGTTTAGAAGGTATTTGGCATGGTTTATTTGAAGATAGGGATTCGGAATCATCGAGAAAAAAGAGTGCGTCTGCGATGTTCATGTATCGATCGGGATTACGTAAAGAGAAATCCTTGGATTGTGGATTGAGAGAGTATTTTGTTCGGGATGACGGGATCAGTCACTAGAAGAACCATACTGGGGACTCCCTAAATACCTCTCGAACACGTGGGTTGAACAAAAAGAAAGTTAATAAATGCTAAAAGAGAGAAGATACAAATCGACAAATTCTCAGTTAAAAGGATAATAGGGAAGACTAATTTTTAAAGAACATACGGTAGATATCTAAACGAGTCAATTTTCAAGGTTCAATCTATGACTAAAAATACACGATCATAATCTCAATAAACTGTAAAATCCACTTACTTGCCAGAAGCCGTGTAGTCGCAATATATCACTAATAAGAAAACAAAGTACAGCGTGTAAACCACTTTCAACAGCGTTCATTGAAAATAAATTTCCTGGTGATCGTTCTCATTATTGCATTTTTAGGGTTAATCAAAACCCTAACTTTAAGAAATGTGTATGTAATTATAATTGGTAATACCAGAACTTATTTTATCAAGGTAGATTGAAAGGCTTTTATCTTCATCAACGTTGTAAAAATTGAATTTCATTCGAAGATTTCAAGACGGTACCATTATTGCCGCCATTTTGAAAGGCGTCACTATTCCCATCTTTTTTTTCTGATTGGTTAGCTTAGCGGGCCGCTCGGGATTTCCCGCGTTGGTCCCGCAAGCAAAAGCTCCTTTTTGGCCATATAATGTAGAAGACGTCACTGTTCACAAACATTGTTTTTGTTATTCAAATTTGTAACGAGAGAAACAAAAGAATCTTTTGTTACAAGAACCAATGCGCTTGTGGTTGGCAAATTAATATCAGTAGGTGACGTCAGCGTCAGTATCGCTATGTCCCAGACTTCGTCTGGGTCCAGAAAAACGCAAGAAAGAACTTGGCCGATGTCCAGCCATCTTAAACCTCACGCTTGGTCAATAGCGCAAATATGTTTTCATAATCAATACAGAGCATAGTATCGAGTCTTCATTTGAATTTAATAATTAAAATATTTCCAAATAACTGTACTATCGTGCATAGCTGGTGGGGGGTTTGCTCCCTGCCCACGTGTCACAGTGTGGATATGACTTGGTTCATACGTCTTAGAGGCGATTTTAGTTCTATATTTAGGTTTTACTTTAAGATTACTTTGTGTTTGGAGCTATACTAACAGCAGTAGCTCATGCAAGCACAAAGCGCCACGTGTACTGGATACATTTCAAATATTTCTAACTGGGACAAATAACCGTGAAATAAGTCATTTATCAGTCGGTCGTATTGTGCGTATTGGTAGTGCATATATACTGTTGTGAGGAACAGCTAGGGTTCGAACTTGGGTATCTTAGACTCTGTTGAGCTAAATGAATCTGAAATTGCCTAACATTAGAAAGAAAATTGAAGCTTTGCCACTACACAATTCTGGTCCCGACGCCATTTTGTATGAGTTAGTCACATTTATATGTTTTTGCAAAATTAGTATGAAACCTCAAGATGCTCGTGAATAAATTACGGCGTCATTACTTGTTTATTACCTTGAAACCAATAATCGCTTGAGTATATTAGCTAACTGGAGCACGCGAATCAAAATAAATAGAGAGTGCAATTGAGACTTTGTCTTAGCCTATCAGTACAAGTGACATTAAGTGTAAGTGCGTTGAAGTTAAAGATATGATAATCAAATAACAGTTAGACACGTACTCATTTTCATGTTTCTGACAGAGGGATTTGTAATACTTAACAGAATCAGTTGTTTGAGTCATTTATCGCGCACACTATAGTTAGTTTGCTCGGTGTCGTTTTTTTTGCTTCGCCTGTCGTTGAACATTGCATGTAAACTAAGTAATGAACCTAGCTGAGGAGTAATTTTTTTTCAAAGCACATCGTAACAGTACATGAACTCTTTGCCAAAAAAAAAACAGAACAGTTAATTTCCAGGCGACGACTAAACTCCCGTCTTTTGGGATATGAGCCTCCAAGCGTCCTTTAAAATGTTCTTTCTAGTGATTTTGAAATCGTGCGATGAAATAGCACGCATCAAAACCCGCATTCACGTTGTTATGACAGATTGCTGTATATCATATTCAGTCGACCGTTGGGTTCATTTGTGCTATTCTAATTTTTATTATTATCACAATAGTTATGTTCTGTTTATTAGAATCTGATCTAAACTTTAGCTTAACTTCAGCTAACTTAACGTTTTTCCGATTGTCACCCCCTTCTTTGCAAAAAAGTCTAATATCTTACCTCGTTTCTCTCCGTAGGGTCCCTCAAATTTTGTCTTTCCACCAATAACATTTTCATCGATAAACTCCAGTATCGGTAACATGACGTTCTCGGCTGTTTCCTCTTGATTTCTCTGATCCTTTCTTTCCAAGTCTAAAAATGAAATGGAGGATTAGTGATGTGATTTGCTTTAGAGAAGCACAGCAGAACATGAGCAAGAATTAATCAACAGCAAGAATTAAGAGGCGTAGAAATTCAAGAATTGCAACAATTATGTTATTGTTCTGTCTTTTTTTTTTTTAATTATTAGATGCATGGATGGGCCAAAGGTTCGGGCTATAATTAAAGCAGAATGACTTCTACTGCCATCTAAGATCATAAAAAACCACGCTTCAGTCATGATTATCTTTTCCTTTAAGTTACAACCTTTGCTGAGACCGTAAAAGCTTTTTTGTTGAAAAACTTTTTTCCCTTAATTGGCTGTATCAGTAGCCAGTAGACTGGAACCAGTGCTCTGGCAAACAAATGCCCGGTACGTTTAAATAAACAGTCCTTGATACTACTTGCTTAATTTTCCACAACAGTGATAAACTCACCTGACAGACTTGAAATGGACACAATTAAAGTATTGATACCGCACGCAAGTAAAACGTTTCCAAACGTGTTCCTTCAGCAACCGAAGTGGTTACATGATTGTGGCAAACTATCTCAACCCATGATTACATTCTTTATGTTATATTTTTAGCACCTAACGGGGTCTTCAACGTGACTCTGCATCAAGAAAGCTGACTGTAAAATTATTTTACTCTTTTGCTCAATTCATATTTCAAAATATTTACCAGCAATTATTTAGTAGCTTTTTTATTGTTATTTTTTAGTAAAAATGGTGTACTGATAACTTTCCTTGTTTACTCTACGGCCCCCGTTGTCATGCAGTGCTGAAAAGCGCTAAAGAAGTGGACAAGACTAAGAATAAGGAAGTTAACGAAAAAGAGAAACTTTATGTAGTTCGATACTAAGGTCAATATTTATTCTGCCACAACCTTGGGAAATTTATTCCCTACTTTTACTTAATCATGAATACAGTATTAATAATCCTCGCGGAGCGAGCGGCCTCGAGGCAACATGGCACACTATGCAAACTGGATGAATAATTTTCAAGGGCTCCCCTTAGAAATTTCTTTGGTGTTATTACAGATGACTAATTACATCTTTCGCCCTTGAGAAATATAAAAAAGAATGAAATATGCTTTAAACTATTCTGGTACAAGGATTTTGTCCACTGAAAATTAGAATTACTCAATTTCGCGGTGGATTCCGTCTTAATATCCCTTGCTCGATCCCGTAGCCTAGTCAGCGTTCAGATACTTTCTGTATTCTCTTGTTTCAACAATAAAACTGCGACCTTTTGACCTTATAAATTCCAAATTGAACACTACAACTCCGTTTAAAAGAGAAAATAATCTAAGGCCTCGGTTTAGCAGGTTTCTATTGGAATCAGTGACCTCAAAAACCAAACAAGGTTTAGATTAGCCCTAATGTTACTTTACGTCAGACGTGCAAATTTAGTCTGCCCAAAATCCTTCGCGGTTGCACTCTTTCTGCATGGGTATTCGTTTAAGCCTCCCTGCCCTGGCAATAATTGTAAGCTGTGTGCAAATTCATAAGGAAAGAAATTCAAACTTTTAGGCTTGTTTCAAATCATCCATGTTGCCATGGCAACGATCAAAATTTTACGTTTATCCTAATGAATGCACTGTCTTATAACTATCTTTGCTCTACGCCTAATTTAAGCTTAAGGAGCCATAAATAACACTGCAATGAATGGTAACGGTTCATAACCTACCAAATTGTGTTCAGCCACCTTAAACTTGCGTAAGGACTTATTCACTTCCAAGGCGTCCTTGAAATTCACAGAAAAAAAATTCTTATAGTGTAAAAAAACGATGCGTTTCTTCTGTCAACAAGACATTCATCTTCCCCCACCACTCTGTCTCTGATGTTACTGTTGTGTCTTAAGGAGCGCGTATGGCCAGAGTGAATATATCATGTATTCCGGGTTTTGTTTCATTTAGCACTTATTAAACTAGATAGCTATGCGTGATATAATTAAATTGCAACCTAGAAATTTATGATTATTTTTTAGTTTTTGTGTGTGCGGCCAAGCAACCAGATAAAAGGCCAAGATAATATATTGCCCGTTTTCGCCGCCTCTTTAACAGTTATAGTTATTTTTTCTGTGTTCTAAGTGGAGTATTCAAAACTTAAACTACAGTTTTAACAGCCAACGATCGTGATGGTCCCCCGTGGAAAGAAGGGCTCTTTACAGAATCCGATCAGACGTCAAGTTAAGATTGACCTAATTCCATCAATTCTTAAACATTATTAAAGCTGTCATTTTTGGTTTAAGATGGAGCAAGTGAATAACAAAAAGAAAAGATCGTAAAGATATAAAAAAAAGAAGCTTAAAAGAATTTGCGTTTATAAATATTCCATCATAATTGGTCTTAGTTCACGTTCTTTTTATTTAGTTTGAGTTTTTTTCCTCATTGTAAGCTTATTTAGTTTCTACTGAGAATGAGTGATGAGAACCCTCGCTGATTTTACTTTCAAGACAGTGCCATCTTAAGGAACAAACTATAAACAGATTCCCCTGTTCATTCTTCCCCGTGGTAACTGTTTACGACGCTGAATTGCGAAAGTATAAAAGTTAAGTGATGCATAATATTTCTGCCAGTTTGTTCCTACGCCTTTCCGTAGCACCGAAACGCTTTTTCAACGAGAGATCATTTAATTTGGTCGACTAACAACGGACAAAAAGGAAAGAAGAGATGTCACATAACAACATTTACTATAAGAGCGTTACTTAAAAAACACTCATCTTAATGGCTCGCAGATCTGAAGACGGATCATTAGACTTGTCGAACGCCCGAGAAGATTCCTTTTTGGTGGTTAAAGATTGTAGTATGACCGAAAATAAACCGCAAACAGTATCACTGCCATAATCAACGATTATATTAGTAATAAATCACAACATTTTGTATTGCTTGCCTCGACCAGTTTAAATTCTTTACTCATTTAGAGCCTTGCAGCATATCTAAGTGCAATTTAGCTGTTGACACTTGTAAATCGAAGGTGAAAAACTTCTAATTTTAGATGGCCCCGCTTTTTAATGACGTCAAACTACGTCACTGCGTAATGTTTTATTTATTTTTTGGGCTAAATATAATATTTTCCTTTCAAGTTTTCAAATAAGTTGTACTTCACGTAAAAGTGACAAAAAGCAAATGAGCAATATATCATCTAGTAATTATACCACCAAGAAAATGCGTCGAATGCAGCTTGAAGTTGTTTAGGATGTGGACCGTGAAAAACAGTTTGAGGAAGAAAAATTACTGGTCCCTTATGGCCCTTCACTTAATATACGCCCCCTCCCCCCTCCCCTCCGTTGACGAAGGACTTTGAAATTTTCGTAACCCTCGGAAAAATGCTCTTTTCACCCCCAAACCCTCAGAAAATTCCCCCTACGAGTCTAATACCGTTAACAAATTTTTGCTTTCCTGCTTCTTACCCTCAGAAAATCTAGCCATAAATCTTACAACCCTCACAAATTTTTGCTTTTTTGCTAATTCCCCTCCAAAAATCTGGGTTCAATCCTACAACCTTCAAAAATTCCATGTTTTTGTTTCCCTGTTCAGAAAATTTCGTCAACGGGAAGGGGGGGTGGGGGGTATATTAAATGGAATGGGGCTGTGTCGTGGCTGGTTCGTTTTGTTTGTAATGTCAATTTTACGGCTCCTTATTCGCTATGGACCTTGAGAAATTAATTGGAAATGACGAAGTCACCTTCGTTCGTGTCTAACAATGTCTTCTAAGCACTGTACGAAAAGCTAAAAACAAAAATGAACTTTGCAAAACTGTTTAAAGGCTAACAACTATTCAAAAATCACACTTGCAATCCGTGTGAATCTTCTTCAAGTTTTTTTTCCATCCACGCCTCTCTTTGTACTTGCTGCGTCACTATACACCTTCAATTCTTTTATGTTTGAGCAGGTATTTTTATTTTTCACTCAAACTGTTGACGATTCCCACTGTTTAAATTTTCGTGACACGGCTCCGCTAATATTTACAGCATACCGTTTGGTCATGGATAAAATCACTTAATGAGAAAAAACGTGATTGCGGGATATTTTACCAGGTATCAGGAACAATAGGATCTTGAATAACTCGCACTTGTGAGTAGGCATAGCCCTCTGCTCTAATCTCTTAGCGAAATATATTTTTTAAATGTTCTTCGGCATCTTGAACACCACTTCAAATAAACCCTTTCCGGACTTTAGGGTTTCTCGTGCTTGTTTGTGGTTTGTTGTTTAGTCATTTTGAACTGAGCTGTCAAAGACGAGTTGTGTCATACACAGCATATGGCTGTATTTAGTATTTACGTTTATTTCACTTTAAATCATTAGTGTTTTATAACCGGAACTAGATACGTAAGATTGCTGGATTTTTGTTTTGTCACGATATTTGTATTTTGCAAGCCCCTGAGTCATACATTACGTATGCGATATTTCTCAGTGCACAAGATGAAACTTTTATACGTTAGTATGATTTCTATCCGTATATGTAAGGACCATCAAAAACCCGATATTAATACGGAGCTCACTTCTGGTTTGTTTGAGAAAGTAATGTATCGCACTTTCTCGGATACCTATAGTTTACCAGTAACAACAATATAATACGTCTTTCCTGTTAGGTCGACTCAGGGAAAGATCCTTAATACAGTCTCTTTCTCTGGCAACATAATCAATAAAAATTATTTCCCTGTAAACCATAACGAACACCTCAAAGTAATGATTAACAAATTAATCCATAAATTGAAATACAATAAATCTCTTTGTTAGGAAAAATTGATGTAACTTTAATCTTTTGTTTGTCCGTAAGCAGTAGAAACAGAGTTGAAAAGTATTGACATCCCCAGCGATTTCGTATAACGACAAAACATTACTAACCACATGTTCGTATATTTGCATGCAAAACATACTCTTGAGGGAAAAAAGCCATGCACGCATGTATAGGACTCCACTAGCCTAGAACAGGCTAGCT